TAAGTGAGATTTTTACTTCATTTATAGGATCATCAAGAATGGATGAGGAATTGAAAATTAAATCAAATAAAAATGGATCTAAAGTAGAACAACTTTTCCTAGCATTGTTGCACGATGTCTGAAGTTTGTCTGTGGCTACCACAGCTTTGTCGCCCTTACAATGGTATCTGAAACTTTGATGACAAATGTACTTGACTCCAGAAGTTTTAAGAACCTGACTTCCAGCCATTGTCTTGAACGTACCCATGTAGTGAAGAGGATTGTAAATGTGGTATAGAGTTGAAATCTGGAATTGAGTAGTTCAACACACCTACACAATCCGGGATCTTCAACTTGGATCCTTGCATACATTTAACAGAAGACAAAGGATGAGCAACATACCCATTTTGCGTTTCACCTCGATGAATAGTGACGACGAGGAAGAGAGCGATAAAAATTTCAACAAAGACCTTCATTACTTCAGGTATTTTGCAGTCCGAAAGATCAGCTCATTCGGCAAGAAATAGCACATATGCATAACAATTTGAAACAGATTGGTCTTAAGTTTCCAACTTTTGTGTACGCCCTTTTACATCACAGGGTTTATTGATCATATTAGTCGATAATTAATGAATTTATAAATTCAATTGCTACTGCATATTTGCTTAACTCGTGTGAACAAATTTGAACTTTACACAAATCGCAATTTTAGGCTTCTAAAACTTCAAAATTTCCTGGATTCCTTAATCAGGTACACGCCTTGTGCAATTGGCAAGAGCAAATAATCTCACCAATATAAAGGTGTTAATTATTGATACCTTGTCGCAATTTCGTTGAATTATTCGACATGTTTGCCTTACGCTTGATGTACAATAAATAAAGATTACTCATGAATTTGGGTTTTGGGAGCAATTTTTTACCTGTGAAATAGGATTTGACTTGACGTAAACTTTCATCAAAGGACGAAAGTCGAACATCATGAGCTTTTCTTTCACAGCATTTTATGCAAATGTGTTTTACAATATTCACAAATTACGAGGAAAGATTGAAAGCAAACAGATTTTTGAAATGTCTTTTTCGATAAATGAAAATTTACGATATCAAAATTTTTCAATATTAGTTAGATGTAAACCCACGCGACTATTTATGAGTATTCGCCTTGCTGCCGTCGCATTGACTGAACTTTTTATTTTGTTCTGATGTATCTGTCTTTTCTATTTTATTCATTCTGTGTTACCTTATTGAGCTGGTTCAATATCAACACTTTCTGTCATGCTACACGTTAGAATTTCTTCAATTTCAATGTAGTTATTATGGACAGAAAGGTATATAATAATGCATGCTTAATATAATTAACAACAAATCTAAATATAAACCATTAGATAATGACCCCACTCTACTTAGAGAAGGCAGACTACAACGCTTTCTCAGAAATCTCAAAAGACAGGGCTCTATAGACAACCATATGTACTCTTCAGGTTTCCCTAGAGGCTACAACCAGCTCGCTTTTATGGTCTCCCCAAACTTCATAAACATAGAGAAAACTATAATGCCTCTCCCATTCGATCTTTAGTCTCTTCCACCAACTAGTATAACTTTAATCTCTCCAAGTTCTTATGCACTCTACTTAACCCTGTCATACCCAACGATTACACTAAATCAGACTCTTTTACTTTTGTTAACGAACTACACACCCAAAGCCACAACAACAACTACTTCGTATCTTTTGACGTCCAAAGTCTTTTCACTAACATCCCCTTATCCGAAACCATAGACATTGCATTAGATCTTATTTATTCACACCAGCCCAGCCTTATCATTAAAAAACAAGACCTAAAACAACATTTTCATTGCCACCTCACAAACTCATTTCCTATTTAACGGACAATTTTTTACCAAATCGACGGAGTCGCGATGGGCTCACCATTAGCACCACTTCTTGCCAATCTTTTCATGGGATATCATGAAAAGAGTTGTATCAAGAACTATGACGGACCTAAAGTATTGTTTTACAGACGCTACGTAAATGACATATTTTGTATTTTTAACAACGAGGATGACGCTCTCTCTTTTTTAATTATTTAAATTTACAACACAAGAACATTGACTTTACCATAGAAAAAGAACACGACAACAAGTTACCATTTTTAGACATATTCATTACTAAAAACACAGCCACGAACACATACACAACATCTACTTTTCATAAGAAAACCTACACTGGCCTATTACTTAACTTCTTTATCTTCACCTCACAAAAGTATAAGACAGGACTAATTAAAACTCTCATCGACGCACATACGGAAAATTAACAACACGTCGACTGGCTATTATCATGATTTAAACGCTCTCATTGACAATCTCAAAAGAAACTCCTTTCCCTCACCTTTCATAGAAAAAATAAGCACGAGAAACGAACCCACATCTACCCAACTCGAGACTTACTTCTTCAAACTACCCTACATTGGCTACATTTCACAAATCACGGAACGGAAATTACATAACTTAATAAAACGCTACTACACAGACTTAGACATCAAACTAGTTTTTTCATCTTTCGAAATCAAAAATCACTTTAGCTTCAAAGATGTTATTCCCAATCTTTTAAAATCCAACGTGGTTTATGAATTTTTTTGTTCTGGATGTAATTCCAGTTACATTGGGGAGACCACCCTTCACCTTTTCACACGGATTAGAGAACACACAACCACGGGCAAAAACTCACACATATTCAGACAATTACTCTCGTCACCACACTGAAAAAACAATTACATACAATCCTGTTTCCGTATCTTAGACACCGCTCACACTCCTTTCCCACACTCCTCAAAGAAGCCCTTTATATCAAGAAACGTAAACCTAACCTCAACAAACAAATACAACATCTTAACACTATCTTTGACCTGTAACTAGCAATTATTACTTTATCAGATAATATTAATTTTCTTTGATAAAACCTAACACAAACATTTTATAACACCTTATTCAACTGTAAATAATTATTCATAACTTTCGATACTTCCGCTTTATCACTATAACATATTATCATGTAAACGTTCTATATCGATTCACTTTGCACTGAAAATGGCATAAAGTATGCCGAAACATGTTTGCTATAAAGAAATTTGTCGTCTATTTTAAATGTGAATTCCTATAAAATTATAACTAAACTAAAACTCAAGTTGGAAAGAAACTGCTTTTTACACGCTAGTAAAAATAGAATGATGATTTCTGTACGATATCACGCGTCCGCTTTCAAACCGCATGTGAAAACGCCCCGTTTTTGCGCAGTTTAAATACATTACCGCTGACAAATTCGATGCGCAATGGCAAAAAATGATCAGTAAAATGGGAAGAAAAAAAACGACATGGCATATTTTGTTTCAGCAGCTTTGGAGTTTGGAATAAATTAATGAAAGCAACCGCTATGCAAATATTGAGATTGTTTTCAATAAAGGGTCTTTGCATTCTTCAATAAAGGCGGAACCTGATTATGAAATATGAATACATTGCGCAACGTGAGGCTTCACACAGAGCTAAGAAAATAAGCCAAAAAGTAGAAGTTCTTAAAAGATATTTCATTTTGACGTATCTTCTTCACTCAAGACATAGCATGAAATATAAATAGTTGTGCATGTTTAGTAGTAGAACCTGATGTTTGTTTCGAAGCATGTAGAATTATACGTATACATTGTAATGATGAGCTTCCGTACTGGGCCAGCTGCTAGACAGCCGGAAGAGTTGATGATTGAAAGTTAAGATTGGGCTTATATTGATTAAGTAGCATCGTTTTTAGGTTAGCTTTTGTTCACATAGGAAAAAAACGCTGCGGAAAAGCGGTTGGACAAGAGCAGATATTCACAATGGTGTCAAATTGTGAGAATGTCAATATTTGATACGCCCTCCAACATGAAACATAATTGACAGATGTTGATCTATTGGCATTGTGATCATTTTAATGTAAACATTCTGCCACATTTTTGGGGAAATATGGCATTCCGTTCCACTCATTCTAAACTACGTAGACAATCAAATAAAATAAAAAAAATATTGACATGCCACTGCATATACATACAACGCGATAAATATATTGCTCTTCAACTACAGCTATTTGTCAACAGGAAAAACAAACATGATGAAGACAAGCGAGGCGATGACATACATCTGTGCCGGGACACTGGTTTTTCACATGGCACTTGCATGGCTTTTTCGTGCGTTTATTTTCATACATTTCTTTGCTGAATATATTTCTTGTACAATAGCAGTTTAAAGCTAAACAGTTAACCGGAAAACGCACCTTCATAGACAGCTTTTGATTTCTAAGCGCTCGCGACATAAAATAGTCATGTCGCAACTGCTAAATTTCTGAATTACTTCCTCCAAATGTGTAAAATGGGGAAGTAATTTTACCATATGGAAGTCAGAATGCTTTCCGCATTTTTTTTTAAAATGATACTGAGGTTGTATATTAAAAAAACTACACCTATTCAATCACAAATCGTTCAAATTTAAAAAATTTAGTGACAAATCATTCTCAAAACAGTGCAATCAGTGTAATTCAACAGGCTGTCTCGTTTGAAATTTAAAATTCATGAAGTTTGAAATCAATTATTATTGAATCATGCAAATTTTCACTCGGTTACATTAGTGTATAACATGGAGAAAATTACTGATTTTGCAAGGGAAGAAAACTTCAAATTATCCTATGCTACATTAATGGTTTTATATCAGTTGTTGTATTAGAAGATTTGTTATTTATTATTTATGTATGTCTTTGGACAAACAACTTTAACAGATTTATGAATTTCAATTTCAGTTTACGGCAATGTGAGAGGAAATAGGAAGCTGTAACATAATACCACGAAATACTTAGAAAATACCTAGAAATACAACAGACTTCCAAGCGATATATGCACGTGGTTGGGAAGATGTTATAATTCGTGAAAGTCAACCAATGAGATAACGTTTTACAAGTCACATATTTGAATAATTTATGCCATGATACTAAAGGGCGTAAGCCAAGCGTAGAATATTTAAAGCCTGAGTTTCGTACCGCCGTGTATCTTGTCGGTGTTGCTGGTCTACGGTCATCGTTGTTAGTCATCGAACGTTTATAGACGGAGAAGAAATGATAGAAGTAACTGATTCGACGCTCTTTTTTGTTTTTCTCTTCTTCATCTTGGCTGTAGGGCAAAGTAAAGCGGAAAATGGATATGTTGTAGCCAATGTGACAAACATCACTTGTATACAAGGATCGACGATAATCAAGCAATATAATATCAGTGAATGTGGGGATGTCCTGAACTACAAAACTCCCGATTACAGCACAATTCCATTTTCAGATACAAACATAACACAAGTTACTTCTAATCTCAAACAGTCGTTGAAATCATTTACTATGATTCCATCGGCAAATGCGACCTGCAAAACAGCAAGCATCAAGTACCAATGCCAGAACGCCTTCCGATATCGTTGCATGGGAGAATCTGCAGTAGTAGATACGGATAACCTTAGAGCATCCTGTAACGATGCCAAAACAAGTTGTTCTGCATTAAGATCAATTTATGAAAAATATTTCGATATTTTATTTAACTGCTTATCTATTACTTCTCAAACAATCCCTCTGAAGCAACATTGCGTCTCCTTTCCAAAGCTAGAAAACGAGCCCTATTCATGCGACAGTAATTTTCAGGTAAAATATATGACGTATTTTTACTACGCATACACATGCACTCCATCGTAGGCGGTTCTTAAATGATTCAATCTATAAGAGTAATTAATATTTTTACATGTGTTAGCCCTGTAATCCTGTGTGTTACAAAGGTGATTTTTGGAAAATATGTCGCATCAATATATCCATGCAGTCATGGCACTTAAATAAATAAAATTTTTGTAAATATTTCATGCTAGTAAAATCACTGACGCACTGTCACACTCAATCTCGTTTCATTTTGTCCCAGATCCTCGTGGCAGGAGGAAGGAATAAAAGCACCATCAGTGCAAAGATCGTCCAAGAACAGCAGTATCTGAAGAAAGCCAACTTAAGCGACAAGGAATGCGAGAAAAACGTTGGAGAAGTTATATGTAAGATGACACCTGCGTGCTCTAAAGACAATACCAAAGTTATTGCCTTCCTAAGAAAACAGAAATGCCTTGAAATGGTCTCATGGTAAGTTAATGACAACCTAACTAACGCACTTTCTGCATATTTTTGGTCGGGGATGCATAAGGGTTTAGAAGTGGAGGGTCAAGATCAAAATGTCGAATACAATGATATCTGTACACATAAAGGCAATGATTTCTATGAAATAAAAATCAAAAAACATAAAAATACCCATTGGGCCAACTATTGTAGGAGTAAAATCTTGACTTTGCTTCGCCCCTCAGTGCAGCTATCATATTCTTTTGATAAGATATTTTCCAAAATGCTCCCATATGCTATAAAAACATTATTATTTCTTGAAATGCCCTTCCCAGGAGACTTGAGCGCTAATTTGCTGCATGAAAATTAAATTATGGCTATAGTTTTCATCGTGAACTTGTATTGTTTACACTAGCTTTGTAGAATTGTTGACCTGTTGGCTTTTTTCGTAAAAGACGTATACAGCTTTCGACTTGTGTTTATATAATAACAAGATTATGGGTGTCAAGAAAAAACACATCTCGTTAATTATGAAATGCAATAAGTGAATTGTATTAACAGCGACAGAAATGGTTTTGTCGTCTAATTAATAAACAAAAGTTGCACGCAAGCTGATCAAAAGCTTATTAAGATGTGTCAAACGTGTTTTAATTACTGTTTTGACCTGTTTAGTGTAAATACCACGAAAAATGAAACTCTGATAAAATGGGCCAGCGAATTGTGCAATGATTTCGCCAGCGATACAGACAAACCATACCCTCTTGACAAAGTGTACACTAAAAATGACGTCAGTAGTACAGAAAAACCTGATAATGGAGTCAACAAAAACGTTCTGACGTGGAACGCTTTCTTCCTTATTGCTTTCGTAGCGTCGAAATTGAGCATCTAACCGAAGCTTTGCAAGTTCATGCTTCAATATTATCGACTCTATTTGATCGTTAGTTGTGACGAACATGTTCAACGTAAATTTAAAATGCACGATTTAGATATTTACTTAATTTCTTATTTAGGACAATTTGCTATATTATTATTTGCAAATTGTAAATCTTTATTAAAATCCTATGACGGGTGTAACAATTTTTAATTCAAATATAAATTATAATTAATATTTGGTAATTGTATAAAATAGTGAGTTACGGCTTTGATCATTCGCGTTTCTGAATTGTTTGTCTGTCGACTAGCATAGTGTTATTGGTCTGATCGCCAGATTGCCAACGCTGGCACTTGGAATACGTTCATGTTTCACCTGAGCCATCTGGCATTGGATGACGCAAGGCAAGGCAAGGCAAGGCATTGGTCTGGGATGCCGGCAAAATCGTTCATTTCAATTTTAACATATATAGTGAATATTGAATCATCAGACAACACGCTAAAACTTGGAAAACAACACCATACTATTTGTAAAACAAACTCTTGAAAGGTCAAAGGTCAAAACGAAAACTTTTAATTTGACAAGTATCGTACGTCATGCACACTGTATGGTAATGGCAACTCAAATTTAAATGCAAACTTTCAACAAATTATACATTTTTCCCAAAATTTGGTTTGATTTTTTAATTATCGTAATGCAGGTGTCGTTCATCAATACATTTATAAAATAAAAACAATAAAATACGTGCATTGATTTGTCTAGAGCCATATTTGCATAAGCCAGTGCAAAACAGATATGAGCTCAAATCAATCAAAACAATCAATCCGTCAAAGAGTACATGCAAATCGATCATGAATACATTTTTGAAGAAAAATTAAAAAGTTATTTTGCAATTTGTCTTTTTCGCATTATTGTTATTTTATAAAAGAAATAAAAGATCTCTTTTGTGTTTGCAATGGCTTATGCAAACCTCGGAGACCTTTGTGAGAACACTCGACCATGTGCAACCCTCGACCTTCGGTCTCAGGCTTTCACTGATCAGTTCTCGAGTTCTCCCAAAGTCTCTTCGGTTTGCATAAAAGCCTGTGCAAACACAGAAAAGTACTTCCTGGTATTTACCACATGGTCATGAAATAAAGATAGTTCAAAGTGGCTCGATAGGTAAAATTCGCCATTTCCAAAAGCTTATTTTATCATTACAGAATTATTGGAATGCCATGATTTTTGGGGGACAGAAACAAAACACTTAAGTAAATTAACCATAAAAAATTGGTATATATTCATACAATTCTAAAAGTGTAGCGACCTGGTAAGTAGTGTAGTGAGGCAGGCAAGGATCTGATTTCTGATGCGCTCGTAGATGCCACTTCACTTGACAAAGTAGTCGTACTTGTTTCATCTACTTTCTCAGTTTCAGAAGACTGAGAATCAACTAATTTGTTGACTTTAACATAACAATTCTCATGAAACGTTTTTTTTTTACCCTTCGATCGAACAAACTTCTTATTATTAGGCATTTTGACCAGATTTGACGCGATTACAACAAAGTATTTCACTGACTTTCTTTACAAGCATGAATCATTGAGCATAGAGCTCAATGGCATTAATGCATGAACATTCTGACTTGGTAACCAGGCGATGTAAGTGGGCTACTTACCAGTCCTCTTTGTAAGGACTCTACTTTATAAAACAAAATGAAAATCACCATGCAAAACTGTATAACATGGTTATTTTGAAAAAAATTGATGTGGTTTCCATGGTTACCAATAAAAAATTTATGGTGCATCTTAGAAAACCTCTAAAATCACGTAAAATAAAAGCCTAGTATTATAAAACTCAATTGTATATGAAAGATTATTAGTAAAACTGTCTAAAAATGATACTTTTGAAAAATTCAATTTTTCTTGATTTTTTTCCTATCGAGCCACGTTTCGACAACCTAGCGGTAGTCATCTTCAGAATCATTTCAGTCAACAACAACAAAAACAGTCCTTCTCAGGACTATACCAACTTGGACGATCGACATTTACAAACATGTAAAGATGCTAAATACTTGTTAAAAATTTTTTACAGGTATTTCAAATTTAAATTAATATATATGTTTTCGTGATTCGATTCGATACATGAATTTCCTTCACGGCTTCGATCGTTTATTTAACCGTATTGATTGTCTGTAGTGTCATCACAGTGCTATTGGTCAAATCGTTCAATTCAATAATGAGATTGTAAATCATCAATCAACATACAAAAACCTTAGGAAAAAATAACACCATACTTTTTACAAAAAGAACTATTAAAAGGTTCCAAAAGTCAAGACGACAATCCACGACAACTCATACAGGGGCGGATCTAGGATTTTTCAAACATCAGTCATAAAACGTCGGAGGCGCTCCGCATCTGGGGGGGTCTGAGGCATTCTCCCCTGAGAAATTTTGAATTTCAGAGCCTTAAAAATGCCATTTTCAGCGTTTTAGAGCATTACAAAATGTATTTTGTGGGCATCGTTTTTGCGTAAAAACAACACATTTTGCTTACGTTTTTTTCAAAAAAAAAATGAAGTGAACAATACTTGAATGTTTTGCCAAATATTTAGGCTCATTCTCATGCCAAATATATTGCTCATTAGCATGTCTAGGAACGTAAAATTTATTTTACAATAATGCTATTTAAAAACAGATATAGTCTTTAAAATTTCTACCAAGTTGTCAGGCATAGACCCCCTAGAGACCCCATTTAAACCTCTATGTAATGAGTTAAGTTAGAAATTTGGTACTACAAGTGACAGTTCATAGATATAGAAAACTCAGACTTCAAACTATGCAAGTTTAATGTAACCCTACCCATCTCCACATCAGTGCCAGCAAATTCACCTTTTGAGAAAAACTAAAAATTTTTTCTGCCAAAGATTAAGCAAAATTATCAGAGTGAAAATTTGCAGTTAAGGACAGCTTAATGCCATAAATGTTTATTAGGCATTTCACTTGACTATTATCTTCTGCAAGGTGTGCTATATAGCAATCACTAGTAGCATTGTATTATCAAATACAAACAGAATGTAACCAACATGTCTTTAATTATATAATTACATGAATGTTAAAATTGGTTCATGTGTCATGCTTACTGGTTATGATAAATATCTTTTCATATGATCAAAGCTCGTTTAAATGTAAATCTGAAATAATTTAGTTTAGAAATTATAATGATCATCAGAAAAATTACCTAGTGATCATGAAAAATACTTTGCTAGTTTGCCAAATTTCAAGGTTTATCTGCATACATAGGAAGACATTTTTACGTTATAGAAAATGCTTTTCATACATCAATAGCCCTTTGGAATTTATGGCAAACAATCTGGTATTAGCCGTAGATTAACACACCTTTACATCTCTACATGAGTTGTTCAGTTAGAAAAGGGGACAATATGTGACATGTGACAACATTTCATGTATGTTTAATACCATTCCAGTCAAATTGTCAAAATAAAAAGCTTCATGGATCATAAGACTCAAAATCACAGGTTATAGTAAACAGCTTCTCATGTAATCAATGTTAGTTTTCTCAAATCTTAAACAATATGTAGTATAACTGTCCAATGACTGAATGATCAATGATCATAAACTGAAAAGCCCCAAACATTTGTTTATGATAAAGTAAATAATAGTATGGCGCCTTATGGCTACAGATTTTTTCTCCATTGAAATATATTTGCAGGAATGTAGGATTTCGCTGCCATATAACGGTCACGATTCCCCAAGCACTAAAGAAATCATAGCTAAAAGTCCTTCGGCAACAACAATTTTATAAGCATCAATCTGCTTACCATACACCATATTAACATAAATCGCATCACACACTCGCATAAATTGACTTTGATATATTACATTCATGCATGCACTTCAGTTGTCATTTACTTACGATTTTAGATGTAAATTTCTGCTGATAAAACTCAAAACAATGTTGGCTTTCTTTTGAACATCATTGACTGAAATGTCGCTCGCGAGATCGTCTTTGCCAAGGATTTACAATTCATCAATAAATTTTTCGCCCTCTTGAAAAAATTCCCAGTTTGGAAAGCAGCATTCATGTCAATATATAAATTTGTAAAAGATTTCCATAAATTCCATCTGATTGTAGTTTAGTTTCCAAACCAATCACAGTAAGACAAAAATTTAAACGAACCAATTACACGATAGCAAGTGGACTCTCTTATAGGTCCGGCCACCCCGCTTATCGGTCGAGATTATTCCAGATCGTCCACTGATCTGGCTATTGACCAATGAAATAAGCGTCTTTGGCGTTCATAGACTCCTTTATCCGTCGAACCAGTCAAGCCACCCCGCTTATCAGTCGGTTATTCCAGGTCAATTAAAATTCAACTGATCTGGTTACCAACGAGATATTCATTGGATTAGTCATTAGTTTTCAATAATAAATAAAGCTGGATTTTTATCACAAAGTAAATGTGAGAATAATTATGAATTTTTAATTAATATGAATATGTGATTTTTGAATTTCAATCAGTCGCGCGACGGATTTGACATACTCTAGATCCGCCCCTGAACTCATAGAGAAGTACCATGTGGCATGCACACTGGCAAGAGTGTTCGCATGTGACGTCAAAGTTGCAATGTTGGAGAAGTACATCAAAGTGCCGATGCTCAACAAAATATGAAATTAAGCGACTGATGAAAACAATCTCGATTAGCAGCCCAAATTTACGCATGTTATGCAAATTTTCATCGAATTATTCTCTTTTTCTAAAATTTTGCTTTCATTCGTTGGTTATTATATCAAACAGTACAGTGCATGTTTTGTTTGTCTATAGTCTATACCATTTATAAAATACCATAATTTCGTAAAAGCCCTATCGCCAATGCCCATTTAATGTGGACCATAAATTTTTTTAAAATAGACATGTTTCGACATCTCATGATGCCATTTCAGTATGAGTGAATAATTACATTACAAAGATAATACAAAGTTTATATAAGAGCAATATGATACAGTAAAATAAATATATAAATATATATAAATTATAACAATAACAAGGAAATGAGATAAATAAATTGGGAGCGTGTTACAAACTAAATATTGTGTTGAATTTAAAAACTTGAACATTGAGGTCAGGTTAGTTTTGTTAATGTGGAGTGTTTCTTTGATTTTATTTATGGGAGAATGAGGTGTCTGCGGTGTCTAAGATTTTGAAGCAAGAGGTGAATGGTTGGTTTTGTATGAATGAGATTTAAGAAAGTGTCTGTATGAAGAAGGTTAAGAAGAATATGAGAGTTTTTGTTTTTTGTGGTATTTTCCCTGATTCTGGTGGATAAATGGCGCGACGTTTCGCCAATATATCGGGAATTACATCACGCGCAATTGAATTCATATACTACCATTATTTAATTGAATCAGGGATCGGGTCTTTGAATAAGAAGAAGTTTCTGATTTTAAATGATGTAAAAATTAGTTGAATGTCAATATCTGTACAGAAGCGTTTCATAATGTTCGTGGGTCTGCGTTGTGTGTGTCGCAAGTATAAGGAGTTTCAGTGTCCAGCTTGAGGTTATTGCAATTTTTGTTGTTGAGATATCGTTTTACGGTTCTGTTAATAAAGTGTAGTGGGAAGGAGTCTCGTAAAAGAAAGGATATGAGGTTTTTTGGAAGATGAAGGGCGAAATTCTTCCTGAAAAGATGAATAAAATGTAGTTGAAAAGAATGGATGTGATGTATGTAAAACGTCTACATATCACAAACCAACATACACAGGACTTCTGACGAACTATTTTATTCAAAACCGGACTTACACGCACATTCATCGACAGAGCATACAAACATAACAATACGCCAATGGCTTTCAACGAGACATAAAAAAATCACATCCATTTTTCATGTTTGCACCGGATATGCAAACCTGGAAGACATCTGTGAGAACTCTTGAGCGGGAGCAAACCCACGACATTATGTTTCTGGCTTGCACTGATCAGCTCCCGACCCTTCAGAACTTCTCCTCTGTATGCGTAATCCTGTGCAAACAAATTAAGCATCTTTTTTCTTACTTTTTGCTGCATGTCACGGGATCGGAAGGTAAAGAGAGATCAAAAGGCACAAGTAATTATTACCCTGTTTAACTATGTTATTCCGTTTATGTTTATCCTCTTGATAAGTTGAAAACACCAGCTATACAATATTTGCGATTCGGAGTAAATGTGATTGCGCTTTTTCTTTGTTTTAGTGAGAATTGTGTGGTGGTGCGACATATCCCGCAAGATTTCAATTGGCAGGAGAACCGACATCAAAAAAACAGGCAACTCTGTGTTTGAGAGGAAGTTCTTTTAGAGCTTTGCTTAAGTGAAAAGAATACCATTATCAACATTTTATTTTCACTTAACAATTCTTCTCACGCGCCCTGCTGTTAATTTGATTGTCATTATAACATTTTACTATGAAACCAAGTAATTAAAGTTACTCTAATGGCACAAATACACACTTCGACTGTGTGTGGTGTAATATTCTTTATTTTTCTTTGATACGTCTCTGACTCTGTCAGTCAGACTACTACCTACGTACACGACTACTGGTTTCTTTTATAGATAAGAATTTTAAGATATTTTTCAAATTTGTACAAAATCTTGGTTCGTCCAATCTTGGAATACGCCTGCCCGGTGTGGTCACCACACCTCATGAAAGACATCGATGAAATTGAGAAGATACAAAGAAGAGCCTTGCGAACTGCCTTAGGCCAAAGAAGACAAGAGATGGCGTACACGGAGAGGTGTAAAATTCTTAAATGGAACTCTTTAGTACAAAGGAGAGATTTCCTTTCCTTAGTGGAATGTTATAAAACTGTATTCAATCTAAATGGATTGAATTTCAGCGAATATTTTGAACTTTGTAAAAACACTAAATCGAGATCTAACCACCCATATAAACTACAACTCAAACTCATAAGACTGAACTGTTACAAAATTCTTTCTTTGTCAGAATTATCAAACCCTGGAATAATCTTCCTATTAATTTATTTAATTTTGTGACAGCCCTAACGTTCGAGAGTTTAAATCAAAATTGAAGAAACACATGAATATTTATTGAATCGTCTGTTAATAATTGATATTTAGCTGTTTCTTATTTGACATTTTATTTATTTATTATTTACTATTATTTTTTTATTTATTATTTTTTATTTTTTATTAACTAGTTCTGTAAGATTTTTTACATAAATAGGAGACCCTTGATATAGGGCTAACCTCTGGGTTTCCTTTTTCTTAATAATGATGTATTTACATGTTGTTCTGAAATAAAGTATTGTATGTATGTATGAATTAGCATAAATGTATATTAATCATGTTTTATATCAATATATTACATGTGGTGGCGGTCATAGTTTTTCACCGTGCTGAGATTGTATTTCGTCACGGTGCATTTTTATACGTATGTATAAACGTACCATAAATGTAGTCATAGTCACAATATATAAAAACATACACCTTTTGCCAAATATCCGCGATTGAGCACACGTGTAAAAAAACCTAACTTCCTGATGATGTCTTCGCACCAGTATAATAAATAAGGAGATACTATTACCTTGTCAATTGGTCTGATGATGAATTTGTAATAAATTCGATATACCACCATATATTATAGTGTCTTTCTTCTTTCTCAAATGTTAGCTAAAGAATTAAATTCCATTAGGATTTTGTTTCACTTTATAGTTTGATAGGAACTTAGCAATCTTGGGTGGAACACCAACGTGGCGCTTCTCCCATTATTTAGTCGATCACTGGGAAATAAGGGAAGCGATTCTGCTTTTGAAAATAAATACCTTTAGAACTTAGCCTGTTGTTATAATTTAAACGGCCCATTAAATACTACGTTTTTATGGATGCGAGAGTACCATGCACATGTCACATATGTTTGTCAAATGAACACCAGCTTTTCTGATGCCTAGAATTTAACCTAAGTGCATAGATTCCAAAGGGTAAGTCTGCACAAAAATGCAGGATGATCAGACATGGAAAGTTTAACATTCCGCTGATTTTTCTTGATGCGTTATGTATGAGAATGCAATTTTACTAAAAAAATGTTTGCTTCGATGGAACTTTTGAACGTCATGACATCAATGCCAGGTTCAGCCAGCCTGCAGATTTACTTCCGTTGAAAAATTTTAAATGATTACATTATTTATTTCTTTAGAAATCTATTGTTCTCACAGTCAGTGAATACAAAATATTTCATTGCATTCTGGAGTAATATGTCTTCAATGCTCAAGATACGCTACTGATCAACAGCATGCTTGATTCGGGCAAATAACTGCGTAAAAACAGACGAAAATTGTTGGTAATTTTATGTCCGCCATGCCGGTGAAGGAAACCTATCAAAACAAATCACTAACTTTTCCTTGTTGTTGACTGACCAGGTGGATGCCTTTACTTCGCTGAAAATTCCCTTGAGTAACGAAATACTACTAGGGATGTTATTGCAGCTTATAGCAGTGATGTAGCGTTTACGTAGCCAATCAGAAAGGCGTTGTCCTCCTATGTAAATTTCATAGCACTATCATAATTCATGTCTATAGAAATGCATGCTTAATGCAGTAAGTTTAGCAAAACATGATAAACTACTACGAACTAGTTGGATATCATTAAATTCTGATTTCTCTTTTAATAATGAGCAATTTGCCTTCAAACACGCCAAAGCGGCAAAAAATGTTAGAACGCCTGGAACAACGAATGGAGGGCTTTCGAAAACATCACGATAACTGCGAAGCGAGACAGGCAAAAGCCTTTCCAGCCAGAAAACGCGAGCATTTACGCGACAGTGTTCTGTGCAGAAAGAAATTAGAGTTAGCAAAGAAACTCAAGATGAAAGGCGCGACTCTTCCAGAAAAGATGGATAAAATGTCCTTGAAACCACAGGAAAATGAATGCAAATCGACGGCAAGTACAGTGGGAAATATTCAGAGCTCACAGGTAACTTGCTTATATCTGTAAATGAAAGCCTCATTGACAATATAGTTGTCTCTTACTTTCGATTCAGGTGATATTCATATTGTCGTTATTTGGCGTACGTAGTCGTTATAATATTCTGTATCAACGCCCTTTTTTTTTGAAATATTAGTCAATTCAGGCAAAGAAAGGCATGTTAACGCAACTGAGTGACGAAGCAGGGTGGAAAAACAATGAAAATTTATTGGCCACAGTAGAAAGAAATTATAGTTGTTTTGAAATCCCTGGGGATGTTTACCATAACGTGACGTTACTCGATGACTCGATGCAGCATCTTGCAATCGCCAGCGACATTACTTCGCATGCAAAAATTAATGAATGTACAGCTGATTTCACGAGAAAAGATTTCACAGATCTGCCAACCATCGATGTCGGACAAACAACATCGAGAGTATTGCAACAGTTCAATCCCCTTATATGGATACATCGACTTCCACAAGTCGTGAAACCAGCTTAAGCGCAACTAACGAAAGGATGAGTACTGTTTTATCAACTGCTAACATTGACAAACCTTTTTTTAGTCGATCGAAATCTGACGGAAACGTTTGTTCCATGACAGATGTATGTAATAACAGCACTCAAATTACTCCTGGTCGCCATGATGAAGATCTCAGAAACGAACTAAGCTATTTTGAAAGCATTTTACAAAATATGGGAAAGAGAGACGAGAGCCGTACTGTTTTATCAACTGCTAACATTGACAAACCGTTTTTTAGTCGATCGAAATCTGACGGAAACTTTTGTTCCATGACAGATGTATGTAATAACAGCACTCAAATTACTCCTGGTTGCCATGATGACGATCTCAGAAAGGAACTAAGCTATTTTGAAAGCATTTTACAAAATATGGGAAAGAGGACGAGAGCTCAAACGAGGTTGGTTTGACTTACAATGATAGGAATGCCAGCGATCAAGGTTCAAATCTCGGAAGCACCTTGAGTGAAATTCCTGGAAAGAAAAGGAATCAACTGAATTGAACAACGAACGCTAAATTATAAGTGAAGACCAACGATCCTGAACAGAACAAAAAAATCAAAACAATCAAGCAGAAATTATTCCTCTCATTTCTTCTTCACGAGAGCCACATTATGTTTTACTATAGTTAAGGCAAAACGTGTCTTAAAATTCTAAAGAAGGCTCTTGTATATTTTTATTTGGGATAAAACTTCTCAAACGAATTTCAACCACAACTCCATCGACAAACTGCTATATAACTGCAAATTTTTTCTTCAGGAATCAAACTAATCTGATGAAAAACGTCACATGCAACTGAGACGATCCCACCATAACTTGAGGATGCATTAGCCACCGCAATTAGCGCTATTTTCTGATCTATCTCACCAGAAATATCTTTCTCAAAGGATTGTCAAATCTTTTAGTTTCTTAATGTAAGGGACAACATTTAATATCATCCGCCATGCATTGATCTAAAAACAAATGTTTTCTGTCCTGGTGGCCTGCATTTTACAACACAAGTCATGTGAGATTGCGGCAGAGTAATGGAGTCCTGATCTTTTCCAACATTTTAAGTTTTTATCCCTCCTGACGATAAAAATCATTCAGTTTTGCAAAATGGGAATGCAGCGTACTCCCAACCAGATTGTATGTCATTATCATTTTGATTAGTTAAAAAAATGAAATCAGAAAAAGAAGGCGTTATGAGTTTTATTGTTTCTGTAATTTTACCCCACTTGCATATGAATTGTAGTGAACATATATATCGATTCTACACATGAGAATCGCTTTGCTTTGCTTCATAATTCACTTCGTAAAGTTTTCAAAGTTTTCCGTGTGACTTTATTAAAACATTCATTCATATAGGTATTTTTATATCTGCATCGATCATCATCACGACTCATTGCATGCTGCAAAATTAGCTTCTCGACTGTTGCCGACTCCGAAGGCAGAAAATGATGAAGACTCTCAGTAATAAGATCTTCTCAAATTTGGAGAGATTTTTTGACAATTAATTTCTTGTTCAATAGACAATAAGTCAGCGTTTGTCGACTCTTGAGGAAGGAAATGATGAACGCATTGTATTGTCAGGAAGTTTTTTGTAGAGTTTTAATTGTTTTTGCTCAATATAGGTTAGAGATATAGCAGCCCTAAAAAGTTCAAGAAATGTGTCACACTCAATGGACGATTATCATGTCTACTTATATGTCATAAATTACTCTAGATCAAATTTTTAAGAATCTATCTTCTTAAAGATAGATTCCAATTGAATTGATAGAATTATTCGAGGGAAATTAATTTTGACCTTGAGCCATTTACGACTTCCTTTTTGTTTCAACTTTAAATACATGAAGTCAATTTTGTAACTTTTAAACGTTGTGAAGCGAATGGCGTGAGTTAAGCGTGATATTTTAAGCGACTATTTATTTATTCCTCCTCTTACCAACTAAATTTACCCCCTGAAATTCTTGTTCAAAAAACAAACGCGAAAAAGCTTGCCTTGCATATCAATCACAGAAGCAGAAGCACGTGCTTTAATTAATGTTCAGAGTACGTGTCCATACGTGTTCAAACGTGTTCGTGCGCACGAGATAAGCAAATATAAAATCGGAATTGAACTTCTATAAATTATCGTCCAATAAGATAAATGAATGCTGTGATGTAAAAGGGCGTAGCTAAATGGAAAGTTGGAAACTTAAGACAAATCTGTTTCACAACACCATGCATATTGTTCTGTTGCTTGTCGGATCAACATCAACTGATCTTTTGGACGGTAAATATCTGACGTAATGAAGCTTTTGTCGAATTTTTTGTTGTCCTCTTCTTCATCTTCGCTATTCAGCGAATCGAAGCGCAAAATGGATACGTTGCTAATCCTTTGCCATCTATTCGATGTATCCATGGATCCATGGTGAATGTCCCGGATTGTGTAGGTGTATTGAACTACTCAATTCCAGATTTCAGCTCTATACCAGATTTACAATCTTCTTCACTGCATGGGTACGTAAGTACGGCGACTGGTACGTTCAAAATGATGGCTGGAAGTCAGGCGTGTAATTCTGCTGGAGTCAAGTACATATGTCATCAAAGTTTCAGATATCGTTGCGAGGGTGACCAAGCGGTGGTGGCTCCGCACATACTTCGGGCATCGTGCAACAATGCTAGAAAAAGTTGTCCTGCTTTGGATCCATTTTTGTTAGATATATTCTTCAATTGCTCATCCATTCTTGATGACTGGATAAATAACGTGAAGTTCCCATTGAAAGCTAAATGTGTCATTTTTCCAAAGCTCAATAGCAGTCCTTACTCATGTGCTAGGAATTATAAGGTAATCATTAAGTCATCAAAATCTTAAATTAAAACTTACATTAACGATTTCCAACAGAAATCATATCACAAAAATCAGAATCTACAAATGAAGTACACTTTGCCAAAATTCCGTTTTCTTTCAGATCCCTGTGACTGATAAGATGAATGCAACTGGCGTCAGCAATATTGTTGTTCGACATCATAAACGTCTGGAGCGAATCAATTTGGCTGACAAGCAGTGCAAGAACAAAATTGCCGATGTAATGTGTAAAACAACGCCTGCATGCTCTAAAGATCAGACCAAAGCTATTGCTTTGCTGAGCAAGCAAAAGTGTCTCGCTGTTGTCTCGTGGTAAGTCAATGGTAAAAATGAAATGCATCTTGCATTTGTATTAGAGTTGTATTCACGGGTTATTGAGCTATGTTATTTCTTTATTAAAAGTACGGGATTTGGACAAGACGTAAGGTATTTTTCTTCCCCATTGAATCATGACATGACCTTTATTTTGTGACACGAGAGTAACTCGATCATTTTTGAAAATGCATTTCGACTCTTCTAGTTCAATGAGGAAGTATTTTTTGAGCTTCCCGTGGGGGTATTAAATGCGGATGTGTATAAAACTGACTTGTTTTTTTTTCTCATTAAAAAGAGGATGTTTTCTATCGATCCAGTATCAGTCTCCCCATACCTATACTTTTTTATTAGCATGAGTTGAGTCAAGGGCATATTGTCTTTTTGACCTTGTCAAATGATTTAATAAAAACCCTATGAGTAGTGATAGAGGAATTACATAGGATCAAATCACGGGATTTTCGTTTTGTTTATTTAGTTTGAAAGCAACCAACAACGCTACATTGATCAACCTGGCGCAAGGAATGTGTGATTTATTCCCTGTCGGAACCAAGAAGAACATCTACCCACTTCATAAGGTTTATATCTGATCAATAAGTGAAAGCGTAAAAAAGGCCATTAGGTCTAATAAATCATCGCTGAACAGGTGGGGTGAAATAACATTAACTAAACTTGGGTATAACGGATTAATTTTTCATGTATGACTGCATATAACTTAGAAAGTTTCATTTTATGAATGAATTTTGAAATAAAGTTTAGAAGAAGTGATAGCTTGGAAATTTCTTTCATTCATTTAGGCGAAGAACGCAAGCGTACCTCTGGCTAGTTTTTAATTTTTTAACATACAATTTCGCCTAAAATGAGAGCAATTAAATATTGTATATCAGTCACACGATGAGATTCCTTGAATTTTATTTGAAAAGCACCTCTTTCTTGACTTACTAATACATCAATAGATACACAGAATTGCAATTGAATTGTGATAGGATAATACATGGCTCGAATTTGATGCGGAATACAGACGAGACCCTGTATGGTCAGCGAAGATTTTGTAATGAGTGAAGTATTTGAGGCTTAATATGGGTTTAACCTTAGCTCCATCTCTGTTGGCATTGGCGTGTCTTTTTTGTTACTGTGCCAAAAACACAAATAATTGCTCTTACACCACGAATCACTTATATTTTTTTATTGCACAAATAGACTATACTTCACCTTTGGGGGGGGGGAGGCTTGGTGTGTTATGTGGATTAGTGCTTACAGTTGCTACCTTTATCTTAATTTTTGCTTAATTTTGTTGAATGAATGTGTTTTTATGGTCATGTTTACCAGCACAAGTTTTGATGTTTATAATTGTTATATTGACTGCAAGGACTTCGTCTCAGTCACATTGTATCTTGGTTTGGGCATTTGGGGAAGCTGTGTTAATTTTAATATGGCGGATCGTTCTAAGAGATACAAGAAAATAGGATTTCTTGGTGAGGGGCAGGTGCGTTTCCTTTTGCATTTTCGGGAGCATTTTAGTGTTTCATAAGCAGTTGATTGTAATATTGTTTCAGTTTGCCACAGTATTCAAAGCGGAAGACCAAGAAAACGGTCAAATTGTCGCCGTTAAAAAAGTACGAAATCACACGAGTTCATGATATATAATTGATGATGATCACCTATCCAAGCATATACTTCACTAGTCTACAGACGAAAATTTCTTTTTTCTGTATATGTTATAGATAAAACTCGGACAAAGAAATGAAGCGAAAGATGGTAATCATATTCTTTAGCACATATTAACTATTATTGGACTGAAAGGCTATAGCCTACTCTGGAAAGTATGTCTTATGTGCATCATCAGCGTGCACTTTAAAATTTGATTCTCTTACCAGCACACCAATAATTGCTCTGTATCTACTGAAGATCTTGTTGAAAATTACATGCCTTCCAGAATGGACGAGAGTAAAAGGGGTGGTGGTTGTGTAAACAAACATAATTTGTGTAATTTAATTAAAGCAGTAGCCACTCAGAATGGAAAGTATGTAAAATTTACCCAAGATTTACAGTTTGCACACATAAATGCCCACTTTTCTCAAAATTTTGCATCTGAGATAGGTTTGACTGGCCAATAACCAGTAGCTTACCATTCTCTTCTTTAAACTGCTTTTAGATGGCATTGAGAAATTATTTTGGGGGATTACAGATGCATACCTTTAAAATATGTTTTACATAGCATAGCTAAATCTATTTTAAAATTTGTGTTTATAATTTTTACTGTACTTCAAATTGCATGAAGCAAATTTTCGAGAGTTTATGTGTAAAGAGTTTTATTTTGATGAAAGGGCTTAGTAAAGGAATACAGTTGGGGAGCTTGATTATTAGAATGTGTGATCAAATTGCTTGACTTTTTGTTACATTCAAATTTAATAGGTATTAATAGGACTGCATTGAGGGAAATTAAGCTTTTGCAAGAAATCTCTCATGAAAACATTCTTGGTGTAAGTAGCTAACTGAAAATGTAACATGACATCAGGATGTATTGTCCCTGGGTAATTTGGAAATTCCTTCCTTCCACCATTTAACTATATTTTTGACTAATTAAAACAATTGCCAATCATATATTGTACATTTCTCTATATGTTATATATTTTTTCAGCTACTGGATGTGTTTGGACATAAGTCAAATGTTAGTTTAGTATTTGATTTTATGGAAACAGATCTTGAGGTGAGAAGTAGACTTATAATTTTTTTGCATGGAGCCACAGACAAGCAAACAAAAGAGTGGAGCTCAATCTTCTTTATCGAGAAGATTTACACTTATGCTTTATTTATGGTCTGTTTTGTCAAAATTTAGGGAATAATGCTTGGCTCAAGATATGAATGAATATAAAGTGAATCTGTCAATTTTAACTGAATTTTTCATTTTCCTATGACAAGTACAAATAACTATTGCTTAAAAATTTAATAACAACTTGCAGAGCCCATGTCTTTATGGGAAATTTGTTTTTAAGTCGGCACTCTGAAATGCAGAATGATCCTGCATCAACCTGCTAGATCGTATGACGTCCATAATCTTTACAAATCCTGATTGATGTTGTGTATATTTGTGTATTGCCCCAAGCCAATTATTATTAGTACTTCTGGTTCCATCTTAATGTGGATTTGATTTTACAATGGCAAGGGAGAAGTGAGAAATGGGATGATTAAATGGTTTCCTTCCCAAATTATTATTTTCCTAGGTGATAATCAAGGACACCAGTATCATGTTGACTCCAGCTCACATCAAAAGTTTTATTTTGATGACTTTGCATGGCTTAGAGTATCTTCACATGAACTGGATATTGCACAGAGTGAGTGTCTTTATATATGTTTCCATATTGATTTTATATTTGTACTTTGTTTATATGTAGTAATTATTTTGAATTCTCAAATTGCTCATGTACTCTGACCAAGTTTCTTCAAGGGTAGTTTAATTATGAAACACTCGAGACTTGTGCATCTTGAGTTAATTCTCTTTATTTTCTTTAGGATTTGAAACCGAACAACCTTCTTATTGATAAACACGGTATTTTAAAAATTGGTGATTTTGGTTTAGCAAAATACTATGGCAGTCCAAGCAGAATCTATACTCACCAGGTTGTCACAAGGTATGAGTAGGAGTATGTTCAATTTTGTGTAGAATGGGATCAAGGACTACCCATAACTAGACTAGTTCCTAGTCCTCAACACCTTGTCAAACATGTGCGACCATCACAGTGCAAAGCAAACTTCCAGTTGCACAGTGTTTTCAGTGCAAAATTTTTCGACAATATTTATTTCTTCAGTAAATTGATTCAAGTCAATGTTTTTTTCAGTGATTAATTGAACTCAAAAATATATGTATTGAAAGAGTTAAAAATGGTCTGGCTTTCAAACTTTCTATGAATGAATGAATGAAAATTTTATTTTGACACGCTGGCCTTGTCAACTGGTATTTATTTCCACGAGGGCGTGCTTTTTGTTCAAAAACAAATACAAAATTTACTAAGAATAAAATATCTATAGAAGAGAAAGATAATTTTAAATATTTACAGAGTTTAGTTTATTCGATTAGTTACATGTTAAACTAAATCATAAAATTCAAGCAGCAATTTTCTTTGAAAACACGCTTTTGATATTTCTGATTTCTGCTGAAATTGAATTCCAAACAGAAGCCCCATCATACGCAAAGCTTTTTTTCAAGGAGTTGGTACTAGGCATAGGAACATTCAGACAACTTGTGATATTTCGTATGATCTATTATCGACTGATAAGCTCTTTCATTTGGCTAAATAAGCAGCTAGTTTCTTAACAAACATCATCACTTTGTATTTCCGATATTCAGATGGTATCGTTCTCCCGAACTGCTGTTTGGCGCTCGCATTTATGGTACTGGTGTCGATATTTGGGCAGTGGGCTGTATTTTGGCCGAATTGCTTTTGAGAGTGAGTTTGTAGAGCAAAATTTTATAGAAAGAGAGTTTCCAACGCATGTTTTGAGCAAAAAGATTTTGAGTTGAGTGGGGAAATCTGTCAATGAATTTGTCAATTTGAATTTTTTATTGTCAATTTGATTTTTTTATTGTCAATTTGAATTTTTTATTACCATCCTATTTAACGGTTCAGGTTTCGACATCATTCTCTCTCCTGATCGAGTCATTAAACGTATGCACCGTAAACCTCCTCTGCTTGTGCGTAAACCTTGGGCTTTTATAAACCCTGAGTTATTTTATACAGTATACATGTAAGGGCTTACATTTCGGGTGGGGGGATAATGCACGAATCATATTATACAACAGTTATGTTTTCAAGGGTGTTGGGTATAACTGAATGTTATCATATCAACACAGGTCACTCCTCTCTTGAGTCAGTCGTCCCATGCAATGGTCGATTGTTCTCTTTGTGCTCGGGCTTATAATCGGGTGGCCTTATATGCAGGGCCCACTTTTTCTAGAATAAGTGTCACGAATCGCGATTGTGGTGTGCTTATGTGCTGGAGATAGGCGTACAGGCGAGGTTTGCAGTACACGATGCCCCCAAAAAAGTGACAGTCGTGTTATTGTTCGTGAATTTTTGTTGAACACGTAGTTTAAATTAAATTTATAATTAATAATTTAAAGCAAATACATGATTTCCATATAGTGTCACTATTTTGGAACACCCTGTACGTAAATACTGCGATGTTCGCTCACATATATTATTTTTTAAGAAAAAAATACCTTGTGCGAATGGTTGGAAATTTAAGTACGTAGCATCACCAAATTTGCCTGCTAGCTACGTCACTACTGTCATATGTCTGTACCTACACAGGTACACACGTGTTTCCTCACAATAAACAAGTGTGACTGAAGTGTACCAAGGTTAAAGCTTCATTACTTTAAATAAAGAAGAAAGATCCCGAAATGTTGAATATGAGACTTCATTTCAACACAGGACTGCAGCTGTTAGTGCCATGGTCCCAGAATAGTGAATATACAGTAGAGCCCTCAACTGAACTTTCTCGTGCCACGCATATCTTATTACGCATTTGATCATCACAGTGACAGCCTGTCATCTGCTATTTTGACCCATAGGAATGATGTTATGGTTAACGGCAACCAGTCATCTAATTAAATATACAGTTGCCAGTTACACACCAAGAAGACCTACTGTATATTCCCTACACTTTGTCATGCCTAATTTGTGACAACAAAGCTTCTCTTCAGTTGCGCCTTGTAATCATATACAAATTTACTTCTTTAGGTACCGTTCTTGCCTGGAGAATCTGATTTGGACCAGCTAAGTCGAATATTTCAAGCTTTGGGCACACCCAATGAAGATTCATGGCCGGTACTCTCCTATAGATACGTACATGAAAATAATGCATAAAGTAAATGGTTTGAACCCGGGAGTATTGTTACATGTTTGTAAATGTAGATCGTCCAGGTTGGTATAGTCCTGAGAAGGGCTTGTTTTTGTTGTTGTTGATTACGACCATTTGGACGACAGAGCGAACAACTTACTAACGACTACATACGTTTTGCAAGCAACGTCAGACGCATACGCCAACAACTCTGGTTCAACCACCGCTGCAAGGATTTTGGTCTCGTTCCGGCAGGATTTTGAATTAAGTCCCCGTTGAACACACAAGAGGCTATTCAGATTGTCAAATCCACTAGCAGACGACTGATACGAGCACGGATTAACGACTGTCACAGACGAATCAACTATTACACCAAACAACAAGAACAAAGACTGAACAAACTGAAGGAACTCATACCAACGACAGTAAGTGATACTTTACTTTCTACGATACAAACTATTGCAGAGAAACGAGCAAACAAGACAGAGACACAACACCAAATCAAACAACAACAAAAACTTGAACGTTTAAAACAAACTAAAACACGTACAAGACATAATCATGACGATAACTGGGTGAGGAATATTTCTTCCCGCTCATTAGACGAAGCTGAAACACGACTACTATCTTACGGACTAAAACATTCCATAACACCTAGACGAACTTACGACCATACAACATACGTGTCGCACATAAACCAATCGCAACGTTGCGACAAGTACTAACGAACATAAAGGACAAAGAACAACCCAACGAACGACAAGGTGCAGTTTACTAAATAAACTGCTCCGACTGCCACGCCTCCTATATCGGGGAAACTGGCAGGAACTTAAACATAAGACTTACTGAACACAAACGAGCTACTAAGAAACAAGACAAAACTAATAACATTGTCGAACATCACCGAATAACAAAGCACAACATTGACTGGGACTCGGCAAAATGCATTACTTACAGTACTGACTATAGACAACGGCTTACATTAGAAAGTTGGTATACCAACTTGGAACAAACCTCCCCGAACAGATCACAGCAATTACCGTCACCTTACAAACGACTTATTCACAATACAAACAAACGATCAACTAAAAACATTACACTTCAAACTAATTCACAATGACAATACACAATTGACACCCAAACATTACAACTAAAAACATCACACCTAAATCACACATCACAACTAAAAACATTTCACTTCACACTAATTCACAATGACAATACACAATTGACACCCACACATTTCCTGTACACACAATACAATGACGTAAGAACCAGTTAACAAATACGGCTAACCTGACGTTTACTCCTCATTTGACTCTGAAGATGACTACCGCTAAGGTTGTCGAAACGTCAGTCAACAACAACAAAAACAGTCCTCAGGACTATACCAACCTGGACGATCTACATTTACAAACATGTAAAATAATGCATGTTAACTTCGTTATTTAAGTAGCACGTGAGATCGTGGAAATACCTTTTTTTCAGGGACTGAAGAGCCTGCCAGACTATGTAGAGTTCAAGGAATTCCCGGGTACACCTCTTAAAGATATCTTTAGCGCTGCTAGTGACGATCTCCTCGATCTCCTTGCAAGATTACTTGACTGCAACCCGAATGGTAGAGTCGCTTCAAGTCAGGTACATATACATACCGATGGGAAAAAACTCGTTGTTTCTGTTACCTTGAAAATAAATTCGCATTCTTGCGTTTACACGTCTCCAGTTCGTAATTTTGAAACTCTTTTAAAGGCTCTGCAGATGCCGTATTTCTCGAACAAGCCCGCACCAACCCCTTCTGCTTCGTTACCGTTGCCTAGAGTGTCAGGCTCCAGTATTATTAAAGAAGAGGAAAAAGCTAAGAAACGGAAACTGGCCGGCATTCCAGAGGCTAGTCATGGTAAGTTTTGCAAATCTTTCGTGTTTAATGACTTGTATGCTCAGAGCAAGTTCAACTTGTGGATAATTGCTACACTTTACGGATAAACATTGCATATAAAGCTGATTCACCTTGCTGAATCTCATAATTAGAGAGTTTTACTTTGGCTTTTACGGCAAACGGCAAACCTCAACCTGCCGTTAAGGTTTTCCGTTTCGAAAAAAAATTGAATTTAGTTTTGCGTTTTGCATTTGTATTTTACAGTTCGCATTGTCATGAGCTAAATTTCATGTCTCGTTAAAAGTTTGTCGGTGAAAAAGGCATAGTCATGATGATTACTCCCATGAAACAATTACATTGAGCCATAAACCTCACTCTGTTTGTATCAAAAATACTAAAAGGCTTGCGGTTCATCACCTACCGCAAGAAGTGCCTCTTGCCGTTAAAACCTGAAGTGCAAACCACAACGTGAACCGCAAAGCCATGATCATGTGCCTTTTTGTAGTTTGTCATCAACACCAATCTAAAACCACAGAATAGATATCTTAAGGCTGATATCCATTCAGAGCAAATTGTCGCGCAATCGACTTTGTCCGATCACTTTCTTTTCAATTGTAAGCTCTCGACTGGAACAGTTTCACACTGCTGCACACAATTCAAAAGAACTTGATCGCAGAAAGTAGACAATTTGCGACAATTTGCACTGAATGCAAATCAGCCTTTAACAGAAGGTCCACTCGTGTCGGAACCTTTAGTGTTCGTGTCCCCTACTTTTCTGGAGCAAATTCTAAGCAGACACATCTTCTAGCAACATACTTCCGCTAGATCTCAATAGGAAATATAGATGTTTTTACAAATATGTCGTGTTGCACTACAAAAGCTTGGAACCTTATCTCTTTCCCAAGATGATAACTCTTTGTAAAAATTTCGTCAAAGCTTTGCTTTAAACGTGAATTATTAGTAAAATAGCATTCTCGTGCAATACTATTCCATATTGATTTTGTGAAAGTATCTTGCTTGGAGGTCACGCATGTGTAGTGAAAAAATACGCCACGATTTTAGCCGAGTGGGCCTTCTGTTAGATGTCCATTCTGTACTTAAACTCTCTATTAACGAAATAAGTACATGCAAGGTGATCATTTTTAATTGTAAGAGACTGGCGTTCAACAGTTTCATCAGGATGTATCAAGAAAAAACAAAATCTTTCGATATTGACGACTTTTTGCCAGTTTCAATGCCTATAACTATGCTAAACCCTCGGATGCATACAGTATCGTCAAACGAAATATGCACAAACTTCTCAACTCACCAATTCTAGGGCTAAAATGTTGAAGTAGACTCAACAGAAGACCTTAAGAAATTGACTTATTGTGAAATTTCGGTACCTAATCACCATGCTAATCTCACAAGTGCATTACTGTGCATGTTTCTCGTTAGACTTTACATCAAACTCTCAGGATCAGAAAAGCTTTTGTTCTTACAAATAAAAGTAATCTATGCCCATAGCGGAAATTCTTTATGCACCCGCGAGATTAGGATAGCTGAGATTGAAATTATCACACAACATTGATTTCTAAAGTTCCTGTTTTCATACACCCTGTAGATCTCATTCTTCTTTAAAAGATGTGTAAAGCGATTTTCTATATAATATATCTTCCAATATTTATCTTCCTTACTCTTAATCGATGTAAAAATCCCACTGCCCTTCGCGTGAACTTGTAATGACAGCATGTCAATTTTTATTCAGTTGGAACCAAGCGGTTGGTATTTTGATGGCGTCATGTTGAAGCTGCTTCTTGTCGAATCGGGATACTGTCTCTGGATTTTCTTGCGCAGAAGTCGATGGATTCTACTGGGAGTCGTGTGACGTCATTTGAATAAACATGTTTCATGGCATTTCGCTTCGTGGCATTTTGCCAACCAGCCAAATGGTTTCGGTAAGGCTATTTTTCTCATCAAGTCTTAGCATCCAAGTGAACCGAGAGTAGAACTAACTACTTAACAAATCAATGTTCGTTAGAACGAACTTATAATATTAAAGGTGAGAAGAGCAAATTATTGTCGAGCGAACTATTGCTTGATCGCTCTTTGCGCATGTGTAAATTAAAAAATTCACTTAAGGAACTGTACATTTTAATGAAATTGTAATGTATATCTGTTGATAAATGCGAACTGTGTAGATTATTCTGAAATGCTTGCAGTTATGGTGGTGCAGCCTTCCCGCATCTGGAACGTTAATTGGGTTGAGGTGTTGGGGTTCATCTTATATTCAGTAGTACCCGACTGGTTCAACTCGCTCAGCCTGGTAACTTGGTTCAATATAAACAGGCCCTAAGGTGCTGATTACATGAGCCCGGGTAGCTGGTATTCAGCCAAGCGTTAAATGATTTTGGCGAATGGAAACGATTCAATACTTATCATCAGATAAATCTTCTCGAGCAATTTCACAATATTCTGATTTAATAATAACTACACAAAACATTTAAAATTAAAACAGCCAATTTGGCCTAATTTGAGAATTACAATAAAAATGATCCCTCGAAATCATTTCACGCATCACTGAATCCCGGTTAACCGGGATCATATAAATAGCCCCTAAAGCCTGGTTTTCACAAGCGACATAAGCATAAGAACAAACAAAGACAAAACAAAATACAAAAGAAGGCAATGAAGCGACTGATACAATTATCAACGTAAGCTTAAGCCCAGCAACTTGACAAAAGCATCAGGTAGAACAAAAACAAATTGAAAAGACAATCCTTTTTCTTTTATTTCCTCCAATCTCTGGAGATTATGTTCTGCTTTGTTTTATCGCTTGTGCTTATGTCGCTAGTGAAAACCAGGCGTAAGAATTCACTTTCAATATCAGTCGGGCACAACTGAATATATAACGTAACACCACCCTCAATCAACGTTTTTTTGGCGGCGCTGGCCGTCCACCTCAGTGACGTAGACAGCGTGCAAATTTGGTCTTGCTATGTGACTTACCGATCATTATTTTAGCATTATTTTCTTTTCGAATTCCTTTGTTTTTATAGTCAGTAAACACCGAAATATTTGCATTTATTTTTTATTCGAGGAATATAAGATGTTAACTGTATTTGCATTAGCTTATGCAAACCGAGAAAACCTTCGGGAGAACTCCAGAGCAGATCAGTGCTATCCTGACACGGTGAGACCTGCTCTAAAGTTCTTACAATTAGAGGTTTGTTTTAGCCAATACAAGCACAAAAGCCATATTTTATTATTTTAATAAAATAACAATAGTGCGAAACAGATAAATTCAAAACAAACATTTTAGTAATGCGATCAAACGTTCTCTGATATATGTTTTTTATTGAGCAAGCTTTCGGCTGTCTGACTACAGCCTTCCACCCGGCATTTTTTCAAACATTTCAATGTTTTTTTTAAGATGTATTCATGATTGATTTGCAAATTCTCATTGTTTCATTTATTGATTTGATTGGTTGATGCCTGGCTTCATTTTACCCAATGAAATTCTTAATTTTAAAAAATAAACAAATAAAAACGTTATTTGCCTTTATGTCCGTCATCTTATTGAAAAAATATTTTCCGTAAGAAATTTCACAATTAAGTTAAGTGGTTTCTGACCGCTTCCGAGTTCTCGTGAAAATATTTTTGCCGTACGAGCCTCCCAGCCGGAAAATAACGTAAATTTAGCATTACTAAACCTGCCGTCTAGAAAATGCAATGCCAATATGTTCGCCTCGTCGATTTTTGATTTTAAGCAAGTCAAAGTTAGACGGAAATATTTCAGGATATTTTGCGCTTGTAGAGAGTAATCTTTTTTGTTTTGTATTTTCGATGCCTGACCGCTTGTACGAGTAATCAAATCAGAACGTAATCAAGAAAAACTTCAGTAAATAAACACTTAGTTGGTTCGCGATTAGAATAATTCTATATGGAGATTGTCCAATTGAAATTTTATGATATTCTATCTAATATCAAGCACATGAGGGCAGTTTGTACACACAAAGAAGACCGATCGAAAGAGAAAAACTGTATTTTGTAAATTTTTTCCTTAATATTGACTATTGAGTGAATATGTTTTTCTGATCCGTTGTGTTTTCAATGTGTGACGTCTCCCTCACGCCTACCGCATGATACGAATCAAAACACAAGAAACACTGAAGTATGTAAATTTTTCATGTTTACAAATTAAATGCATTATTAATCTCCATGCGACGCCTTGCAACTAAACATATAATTGGAGCGAAATAAGTTCGCGAAGTCTACATTTCTCCCACGCAGTTTGGTTTTTCTTGCTTTATTCCGAAAAACGTTCACGTGAATGTATGGCCGAAGACTTCGCGAAACTGGAGGAAAATCTTCCCGTTTATGGCTGGCGCGTTAAGTTGGATCACACATTTCCGACGAGACCTCGAGCGAGCAAATTACCGCGATGGAAACAGTTGCCCAAATTAGTGGGTCTAGGATATCGGTAATTTTCTACAATATAATTGTCTCTCTTTACATTGTTTTTTCGCTATTTACTTTGCGTGGAAGATCTAAAACCTTGGGTTTTGTTTTGTTGCTTTTGTAATGTTATCCGCACGCAAAGTAGAGGAGTTATAACGAAGGCAAATGGTTGTTCCTTATCATGACTATGTTCTTTTGTGTCCTTTGGTTTCCATTCAGTGTGATTCAAATGTTTGTAACTTGATTTCGCGTTATGCTTGAGCAAAGACAGAAAACGGGGAACGCGCGGTTGAAGAGATTTGTACATTAGCCGGCCTTCGAATGATCGTGACTAAAACACCACACGAGTACATACGAGTACATACGAGTACATACGAGTAACATACGAGTACATACGAGTGACATACGAGTACATACGAGTAACATACAAGTACATACGAGTAACATACGAGTACATACGAGTGACATACGACTATTTTCTAGTCAACAAATGAGAAACAACACAATTTCTTCAATACATTGATATTTGCGTTTATTCTTCCTTGTATTTGTGTGGACTTTGGGGCAACCATTTGATGGATTTAAATGCTGAAAAGGTATTTTACTTTCATACTACATTCATTTGCATGTTTTAGTTGAATTTGTTATAGATATTTTGTCGATGCGATTTGCCAGTATTTGAGCGCTTTTTGAAACACTTTCACCAAGGAAATACATATTTATGAAAGCGATTAAATAAACAACGTATAAATAATGCTTTCAAAACGTGCTATATGAAATAAATGTACATTATATTTGAATTAAATGACAGTTGCACTGTGTTACGTATATATATCATATTACGCGTACAATTTCAGCTTACTTTTAATGTTTTTAAATGTTTTGGATCCTTATCTATAAAGTAAATGGTTTGAACCCGTGAGTATCGTTACATGTTTGTAAATGTAGATCGTCCAGGTTTGGAATAGTCCTGAGAAGGACTGTTTTTGTTGTTGTTGACTGACGTTTCGACAACCTTAGCGGTAGTCATCTTCAGAGTCAAAATGAATGTATAATCGCTTTCATAAATATGTATTTCCTAGGTGAAAGTGTTTCAAAAAGCTCTCAAATACTGGCAAATCGCATCGACAAAATATCTATAACAAATTCAACTAAAACATACAAATGAATGTAGTATGAAAGTAAAATACCTTTTCAGCATTTAAATCTATCAAATGGTTTCCCCAAAGTCCACACAAATACAAGGAAAAATAAACGCAAATATCAATGTATTGAAGAAATTGTGTTGTTTCTCATTTGTTGACCAGAAAATAGTCCTATGTCACTCGTATGTACTCGTATGTTACTCGTATGTACTTGTATGTTACTCGTATGTACTCGTATGTCACTCGTATGTACTCGTATGTTACTCGTATGTACTCGTATGTGCTCGTATGTACTCGTGTGGTGTTTTCATTGAGTTCAATAATAACTGGAGCGGCTATCTCAAGCGCGGCCTTAGATATCTGCTGACGCCAAAAAAATGGCGGATTTCGTCCGTTGCCGCTGAGATTTACCGAAATTGATCGCTTTTCCGAAAATTTCACAATTTCCCACTCCCTCCTGAGGAAAGAGAGAAGAAAATGTATGTGTGTATTTGGGATTCGTCAAGCAATTTTTTGATGAAAATCAAGGTAAAAACCTCAAATTCATAACAGCGAGTCAACTGTGGTTGTCAGTTATGTGCTACTACGAGGATGCATTTATAACTATCGACGAAAGAGCTATATGTCGGCTACACATGTATGAATGCAGATGTGCGTCGTTTTTTTACCAACGTCGAACTTGTTTGATCGATTAAACTCTTTAGTCTATACAAAAAAGTATATCATAGTTCATCTCCACGGTTCACGAGAGAGAAGTTAGCTTATTTGTTATCATTGCTATTTTGCTTCTTTTCATGATGCAATGGGCAATGGCTTTTTTCGCCACAATTGTTGGATTTTTACTTGTTTCTTTAAAAAAGTAAATATTAAATCTCTGGATATTTACGGATTTTCTGTAATTGAGTTTCATATTAAATTTCAAAAGACTCAAGTCTGCATAGGTTTGGTAAATCAAAACAAACAATATTGTATAGAAAGTACTTTAAGTAACCTTTTTGTGATGTTCTGAAGTGCAACTGCATCAAATACTTGTAAAGTTGTAGCACATTTTGATTTTGTTGTATTGATACATGAATTGGGCAAAATGCAAATAATCATCAAAACACTTATGCTTCCAATGGTGTTTATAATTCATTTGTAGTTTTAATACTTCTACCCTTCTTTTTCACTTTGTTTTGTTTTTCCTATATTTGCAAATAAGTACACAATTTGAATGATTAACACAGTTTTCACCTAAATAATAAATTTCATAAGCAGTTGGTAGTGCATTTTGTTCTCTGAGTATCCACATCTGGTGTTTTGTTCATACAAGAATGATGAAGTGCAAGTAGATATGTCATAGCAAGGCAATATAACCAAATGAATCAAATACCTATAGTGTACTTTTATGCTAGAAGCTTAAAAGCTTTTAGAAATTATAAAGTTATTGGATTATATTAACCATATATCATCAATCTCATGAAAAGAAATAAGAAGCAAAAAATTTGTAGGAAAGCTTTGAAAAGTGAAAAACTTTTCTTTAAAAAAGTAGCAATAATGCATATGATAAATCTCCATTCTGTACTTTACTAGGTAAATAAGCTCAAACTGTTTCTTGAAACAAAAACTGTAATAATGAAGAAATATACAGTACAGTAACTTTGAAAGTTTCATCACTGAATCTTTAATGCTTCAGTGTAGTGCATTAGATATTAGTAACATTTATACAACACTCAACTAAAATGTTTTGATAAAGATATGACTTGATTTAAACATAAGTTATATAAAACCCAATGGCTTATATAGTTTGATGCTTCACATCTGCATCAAGTCATCAATCTCAGTACAAATGTTTACATAGACTTTATGGCTTTCCCATTTTATATGTTTGTGAATTGACATTTCATTAAGCATCAAAACACACACAACCTTGCCATCTTTCTTTGGTTCATGAACTTTAACTTCAAAGCATTCAAGGCATCCTTAGTGAATCCATTGTCTCCATCCCTAGAATTTGACCATGATCAAATTAAATAACTCTGGATAGGGCAGACGATAAATCAATTATCTTTACAGCATTATAATTTTTTAAGACTCTGCCTGGTCAATAACATCTTCCAGTCATCTTTACTCCTTGGTCTTCCCTGCATGTTGTCAGCAAATAGAACATAACAAGCTCTGCTCCAAATCATGGGTACTCTTGGGGCTGATCATTTCGTTTTGATACTTACTCACAGAGCAAAATGTGTGCAGGGTCTTTTTTGCTTTAGGGAAACTATTTTGCAAATAGATGGGTAAATTTACGACTTCATGCAGACTTTAGAAAAGTATGCAGAATTTTATTAACAAAACAGGAAAACATCAGTATATTTGGCGTTCAAGTCAGTCTTAAAAATACGATCTTTAATATGTATTTTATGGCTTTTAAAGTGCATGTATAATTGCTTTTCAGTTTTCAATCGTTGACGGACTAAAAACTAAGCAACTATCTCACCTGTGAGAAGCGATATGTTCCTTTTGTGGAAACTACGACATCCAACAATTGAACGATTGAAGTGTTGGCATTATAAAGAAATGCCAAAAGATATCGTCACAGAATATGGAACTAACGATATCGTGTTGGTTTTTGAAAAATTCTTTATAATTTACTATATACACCAGGGGGAGGTCGAGAATATTATTTTTCTGCAAAGCGATCATTTCAGCGGAAATACGTCCGTTGGCCGCCATTTTTTTGGCGACCTCGCCCCAGTAAAGATAGCCGCTCCAGTTATTATAGAACTCAATGGGTGTTTTAGTCACGATCGCCTTCGAATATTTAGCGATGCGTGAAACGTCAACGAGAAAGATTTGCTGTTTAGATGTAGAAATTAAAACGCCACCACTGAATACTCTAGCAATTTTTCCATTGATCATTCTAATTAAGTTGCAATATATTTGAAAACGAGTATATGAAAGCAGATAATCTTTATAGTTCCAAGCAAAATCGAATAACGACTCGAGGCGAACCCAGCCAACGTCTCTGAACTTGAGGATTTTGAAATTAGCGGGTATGCCTGTGTTTTTCTTTTGACCGATGCTGGTTCTGTTGTATATTTCTGAAGTGCTTGGAATGTCAGTGCTTTGACTTCGTATGCAATGAATCAAGTTTTGACTTCGTATGCAATGAATCAAGTTTTACTAAAATTATGATTTTTAAAGAACGGTGATTGGTGCAAAACATCAAAATCACTTCTTGGAATGACAATCTCGGCGCAAACCTGGGACTTGGTAACGCAGTTTTATTGTCAGGTCAAATGTAAAAGCCACAAAACACGCCGTTTATGCTTTCATATTTCACTATTACGATATTCAAGTAAAAATCTCTGAAGTATGATTAACTTTATATTTTTGCGTACGTATTGCATAGTAATGATCACCAAGAGCACTTATCGTAGTCAAAAATTGCCCCCTCCCCTCGTTGTATGGAGATATTATTCGCAGACTTTGTAAGTGAGTAATTGACTCAGCGTTGTTGCGTAGCAACATATGTAATTCATTGTTTTTACGGAGTGGGAGGCAGTTCAAACTATGGGAAAATGAGCAGCCAGCTTTGCGGGTTATTGTTTCCCTGTCAACCGGGCCTTTCTTATTCCCAAATCAGGCTCGACATTTTATCATCAACATCATTTTGTTTTTTTGTTGTTTAGGTTTTCATTGACTCGCGTGCTCATTCAAGCTCTTCTAAAATGTTGATACATTTTTTCCCTAAATGATGTCATTTGATGCTACTCTACGTGTTTTGCTTAAAGTAGAAACAACGATGTCTTAACTTGCCCTTGTTATGAAGGAATATTTCCTAATTTGCCCTTGGCATGTTTTTAAAAACTTTGAAACCGATACTGTTCTTTTTTATCTCATCCGTGAATTGGGTGGTTTTTATCTTTTGATTTTACCATGATGCATTGCGTTGCACCCTCTTTAAAACTAAATTGCCTCAATGAAAATGAACGCCTTACCATTCAACATAACACTGTAACTTTGAAAAATTTATCGAAAAAAATTTACAGAATACAATATATGTGATGTGATAACTGAGCTGATTATCTAAGTAAACATTTCTGCTTGAAGCGATAACTGTTTATATCTTTGGAAACTGACTTATGTATGATGTTAAATCACACATTGTCGTTTAGGAAAGAATATCCACGAAGGCTGTTTGCTTTGTTCACTTTATTTGCATCATGTAATATTTGGTTTATTGTCCGTTGGTATTTTTACGCATAAAAAGGTTGATGAAAAATGCTGCCAAAGAGAAAAAGGAAGGAAGAGTGCCAATCATCGATCCCTATAAAATGAATCCATGTCGACAGATATATGGTAAGGTTATGATTAATGGTTATCTCTCACCACCATGCTACACGAAGTATACTCTTTCTTTATGAATGGGATTACGTCAATCGGTTTATATGCAGTCCACTATGTTGTCATTTCGGACAGCCTGGGGACTGTGTGTCCGTAGCTAACGTCAGGAAGGAAATTTCCAAGTTTAGTTGTAAAATGTTACAGCACTGTGTTTATGACTATTATGTAACACTTACTGGAAGTCGTCCACCAGCGACTTAACATTGTGTTCAATGAATAACGCTTTCAGGTGGGGGCTCGTGGTCAAGAAAGAAGAACAACTAAGTTGTTTTTTGGGACCTCAGTTGTTTGCAGTTTTTGTAATAGCGAGAGAGATTTTAACACATTTCACGGTACTTCAAAAAGAGATAAAAAACTGTGATTATGGGGTGTCCGTTATAGCAGGGTGTCTGGAGGGCGAGAAAATGTAATTAGTTTATTGATTACTGCTATTGCGAAAATTGCTATCTCACTGAAAGATATACACATTTGCTATTTTTCACAGGCGTTCCGCTTGGTGGTATTGGCTGTGGTTCTATCGGCCGTGGTTGGAAAGGTGACTTTAACCGTTGGCAGTTGACCCCCGGAATGTATTCTTACGATATTGTCCCTGCTGACCAGGTAAACATGCACATTGAAGCAATGGGCAGGAACTCATATCCACTGTTACGTCATTGTTATCTCTATATGTTCTGAACGCATTCAATAGATGCACTGCTTAAACTGCGTTGAAAAGATCTGTCGTTCATAGCTTATGTCGATGTTCACGTACGTTGCTAACATTGTGTTGCTACCCTAAGATGGAATACTTCGTATCTCCCACCCCCTTCCTTTGCCAAATTCAATGGTTCCCTAATAGTAAATAATGTTCTATCTCATCTACAGTTCACTGTCTGTATACGAAGAAAAGGAAGGACTGTTCATCAGGTAAAACCAGTTTTCATTCGTAGATGGAAATCACAGGGGGGTTAAAGTACAATTCTACGCGAATTGTGCTGTTCTAAATCAATTTGTTCAACTCTAGAAAATATTGTCCTTTTGACAAAAATACGAGCTTTCACCTTTTCAATATGTGTTATAAAATCATTATGTTAATGTAATGAAAACAAATTGCAAAAAAACTACAAAAAAGCAGTTTTGCATCACTGCATGCTCATTTCACAAAGAACTATTTGTAAAACCTCCTTTAGCAACATATTTCAACCACCTAAGGGATTCAAAAAATATCGATATTTTTGTAAAGTATCGATACCAAGTCGATATTTGAAGTTATCAAAAGTATTGATACTTCAGTATAGACCCACAACAATACAATGTGCATTTACAATTTTTTTGTTAAAAATAAGTCCGACAAATCGTCAACTTTAACGAGTCTAACTTTCTGTTTAGCTGCACACGTCTGCCGTATAGACTTAAGCATGTTTTCCACTAGCCACGTATCGTAACGTATCGTAGCAAAACGTAACATGGCGCATGCGTGATTGTGCCAATTGACCATCAAATTCACAAGCACGCATGTGCCATGTTACGTTTTGCTACGATACGATACGTGGCTAGTGGAAAACAGGCTTTAGTCGAGTTTTAACGTGAAGTTAGTCCTGATAAATTGCACTTTTTAAGATAAGGACCTACCATAAGTTTGAACAACAGACGAAAAAAGTGTAAAACGACCGATATTCATCTGAATGGATCGTATATCTAGAATGTATTTTATTGATCAGCTCACTCACATGAATAAACTGAACTCGTCACGTCAATAAACTGGAAGTTTTCGAGACTCTAGCTTCTGTACGAAGTAACCGTAATTTTTTAAACAGCAAGTATTGTGTCCTCAAACATCGTCGAATCATTTGTTGTATGGTCAAAGTTTGAAGTCGTGGAACTGGGGTTTTAATGGCGAAAATGCGATTTACCACGCACTCTATCCACGCTCGTGGACTGTGTACGAAATACCATCGCAAAGGATTCGTTTGATTTGCAGGCAAATATCCCCTATATTCCCTAATGAGTATAAGGTAAGATAAAATCATTACCCTGTTTAATTATTTTTCCCAATGTAAATGTGTCATGGTCTAATGAGTGTTTTTCCATCTATATAAATGGTTGAAAATAGCGTATACTGAAAAGAAATGTTGCTCTGTTGAGCATAATGCAACCAAATAACGCGATCTCATTTGAAAGCACCCTCTTACGTCATATGTTAGCATGCTCTTACGTCATATGATAGCACCCTCTTACGTCATATCATTTCATGCTTTTACGTCGTATAACAGCACGCTCTCATATGATATCTATGTCGTTCTTATTATCCAGCTTCCCCGACTTCATTTCACAAAAGAGAGTGCAAAGTTAGCTTTTAGTTACAATACTCATGGCTCAGGTTAAATTTAGAACATTTTCGATCGAAGTAAAATATAATGACTTAGTTAGCTATAGTTGACAGTTACATATTTAGACTTTTAATATATTTACATATTTAGCTTGAGAAACATTCGCTGTTGCACGTATCCAGAATGTTGTGGGAAGTTTTATCGTTTCATTTGTAGTTTATGTGCTAGACTCAACATTATTTTTGTATAAATATATCAAAATTTTACTCTAACAATACAATGGATCAATGATACCTACATAAACATAAAAGTATCATTGATTTTTTTGTGTTTATATTAGCGTATGAAACAGCTATCAAATAAATTCAAATCCCTTCTTATGTTTCGTCCATTTTAAATACACTTCGTAATCGTGAGAGAAACACCTCATTTCATCGTTTACCAAACCAATCAGATGACATGAATCTAATGTAATTAGCTCTGTTATTTTGGCTGACTCTGTGTTTAAGTTTTGTTCAAAAAGAACGTTGTGTCCTCCGAAAGCCAAAAGATTTAGTTTGACAGGTGTCTTGTTATTGATTCAGGATACAAGTTTACCAGTCGCTGTGTTTGTCTGGACCGTACAGAATTACGGTAGAGAAGATGCTGACGTCACCATCATGTTTACGTTTCAAAATGGTGAAGGCATAGCGGATGATCCTAGCTATGGTCATTACAACGAACCTTTCACATGTAAAGGCATTCATTCAGACGTCAATGAAGATTCTAGGACAAACCGAGGTACGTGCAAGCTTTTTATAGCCAAAGCCAATAAGAGGGTCATACAAGGCAATTGCATCCTCCTTTTTTTTCATGACAATTTCAAATTATCAGCTATATAAGCTTAAATATATAGGTAAAAAATCCTTGCGTTGCCATTATTGTAGCGAAGCCAGCCCGATTTTTGCTTCCACTATTTTTGTGTCCACTTACCGTGAGAACAATAGATTTCCAAAAAATGAATAATGGTAAGCATTCAGAATTTACGTAGCGCGAGTAAATTTGCAGGCTGGCTACGGTACCAATGGCCACAATGCTCGAGGGAATTTATACGGATTTTCACTTTTTGATGACGCAGAACAAGTTCAAAATTTCCAGCAGAAAAACGTAGCCAACATTTTACAGTATGGAAAACGTAAACTGTTTTCTTCTAATTTATATGTTGGACGAGTTCTAATTTCAGTGTACTCAGAAACTTATATATAGAACTGACCATTACAGTGTAATAACAGGGAAAAATGTATGAATGAAAATGAAAACTTGGTTTACGAGGAAAAAATACCTAAATTTATGGTTTTTTACCTGGACATGCATTTGTATGTTTCTTAATATTTCAATTTTTCAATCATGCAACCTAACTTTTTCTCCATTTCTTATTTTTATTGAAATGCAATAAAAGCAATTTACTGTGTGTACCATATAGCTCATGACGCAGGAGATAAAAGTTCGCCAGTAGTGTATGACGTCACTGGCGTTTTGCTAAATCGTAATATTTATCCGCGATGCACTTACGTCATTGCTGCAAAAGGAAAACGTCAGGTAGTTGATATTTTTGCGCATGTTTTTTTAATTCACGAGTTCACGGTAATGTAGTGAAATATTAAATAAAGCATAATACGAAAAAGGACATCGTTTAAACTCAAATTTAAGTTATAAAACAAGACGATTTAAACTGTAATATTTTGGTTTTATTTTAAAACCATCACCATGCAGACGATGCATTTATTCGCTGCAATTTTTTACACATATACAGAGTAGGTTTTAAGTTACATAATGAGGAAGTTTTATTGGCTATTTACGGTAATTAACAATTGTAAATAGCCAATCGAATTTCCCATGATGTAACTTTTCACTCTCTCTATATATGTGTAACCATCTGCCAGCTTGTAAATTGTCTCGTTTTATAAACTGAAATGGTTGTTTTTGAATGATGCTCTTGTCTTGTCGGTGATCGTGTTAGTGCATTTAAGGGAAAAGTACACTTTGTCGATTTGTGTTTGACCGTAAGAATGACTGCATCTAGCTACTTTACCAACAAAATTAGTCTATCACTCTATTTCTCCAGAATTTATTTCACACATATGCACTGAGAAAGTTTTTTTAAAGTGCCAGCGTACTCAGAACTCTTAAGAAATTGTGTTAATAAAAGCGGTTATTTCGAGCTAAAGACCGAAAGAAGTACGAACAAAAGAAAATTTTTTGAAGGGTATGAAAAATACCGTGTGAAAGGAAATATTGCTTCTCGATTTTTTCGATTAAAAATGTCTCTGAACAACTATCTGCTGGAAATCGAATTGCATGACATCATCCTATCTTTGAACTTAACAAATCATGTTTCTAGGAGAAAACAAACTTAATTCGCGTCACATGGAAAACATTTTTTGATGCAAAAGGTCCCGGACGAAGAGTCTGGCAGGATTTACACGAAGATGGGCTACTTTCATCAGGTTCAGGTACTGTCATCTAACGTTTTCTTTCCTCTCTCAGCTATTTCTTTCTTTTGTCAAGTTTCATTTCGTCTCTTAATTATTAAAAAAATTTTCTTCAGTATAGAGTTAGTTAATATTACCATTAGTTACAAGATTTGTGTCTGCAAAAATAGTCTTAGAAATTTGAGAAATGATGTAATCTATCGGGTGAAATATTTTTGGAATTACATTGTTATTGCCTTTTCTTTACCATGACCCGATGAATTCTGCTAAATTGTTTACAAGTAACGTAATTTAAGTCCATTTGCAAACATTGAAAACTCCGTTGAAGAAAGTAAATCAAAGTTTTCCTTTATTCTTATCTGTCATGAATTGGGAAAATCTCACCTGCAAAAAGTGCAAAGCCCATTTCACAACATATAAACTAACTTGGGCCCAATCCTGGTTCAAATTAACCCAAAAAATTTTGCTTACGTCTAAACAGTACTAACCCAGGTTTAAACTGGTTTTGCAGGGCTTAAACACCAAAAATATAACCTTAGTCGAACCCTGGTTAGTTTATGTCGAGTAAATTGGGCTGAAGTTTTTATTGCATGTATTGCATCTTTCAAATTTTACTATGACGAGAGCATTTTGTTAAAACCAAGCATCAGAATTAAAAATGAAGGAGAAAAGGTGCTAGTCTGAAAAAGATACTTGTAAAAGTGCCGAGTAAATGAAGAAAGAAACATTTTTGAAGATTTTTGGAACCTTTGCAGAGCGTTGAATAGTTGTTTCATGATACGGTGTCCTTGGAGGTGTTCTCAAGACGTAGAAGACTGTATGATACGAAACTTCTTCTAGTTGAATAGATGAGGGGGGGTAGGGGTGGTATTTTATTACATGCATGTCATCTGGATATAAATAATCGCTTTTAAAAACAAGAAAAACAAGTCAGTAACTACGACTGGCAAAAAGTATTTTAGTAACACACAAAACAATCGACACTCCGTATGAGGTAAACACATATAATAAATAATATATAAAATAAATAACAACATATAATAAATAATATTTAGAATAAATAACGCTTACTTCATATGGAGTGTCCATTGTTTTGTGTTTTACTAAAAGTCAGTTGTATATTTTGCTATGATTAGACGTCAGCAAGCGCAGCAAACCCGGTGAATGTCCCGCTGCTGCAGTCGCAGCGACGACGAACGTACCCTCTGGAACGGGGCAAAAATTGGAATTCTCGCTCGCATGGGATATGCCCGTGGTTTACTTTGGATCGAAAAAGATAAAACACTATAGGTGACGATTACACAAAAGCCTTTTTGCCTTGTCTAGGATGTAATTCTTCATTGGCTTGGTGAATGTGAAATGAGGTAGTATAGCAAAGGTCAAGGTTCAACAAAAATAGTCACTAGTTGTTGTTATCTTTTTTAAATATTCATTTTATCGTTATCTCTGAACGTAAGAAATCTAACATAAGAGAAAGTATTTTAACATGAAGGATAGGGAGAACGTTATTTGCTGTGAAATGAATTTTTTAATAAGTGAATCAATCGGCCAATCAAATAACAGCATTTAAAATTGGTTGAGCAACATAATCATGAATGTCGCAGTTTGTCATAAGTCAACATCAATAATGCGTTCAATGCTCAATAGTAAACCTATTTCGTGAGCCATTTGACCTCTTTGGCAGTGGCTCTCGTTACTTGTCTTTATTATTTCATTATGTACATGTTTAATTAGATGGTACACGAAATATTTTGGTTACCTTGGTAACGCTGGCCCGTCTTTGGTGAGTCATGCCTTCAGAAGCTACCATGAATGGGAAGAGAAAATAGATGATTGGCAGCAGCCTATATTACGTGATACGTGAGTGTTCCTTGTGGATATTTTTTTTTGCTGAATATAATTTACAAGGAAGTTATATTATGTTTAACAATCACCACATTTACCCCACACATAAGCCCCTGTGAAACTTTAAACATTTTTCAATCCTTTCGAAAATCGATATATATCCGCTGTTTTGATTTCTTTGTGTTGTTTTTTATAAAAAAGCCATTAAGCAACACGAGCTTCGAAGCACTTTCGTTAATGTTGCCTTCATTTGAAAAAAATCGAAACAGGTTTTTATGTTTGCTCGTAGCTACTGTTTGAGCAATTGACTGTAAAGACACACATTGTTTCAAAAAATGTACTCTCTTGAGATGGGTGTATTGAAACGTATAGGTGAATTTCAACCATATTCCCCAAGAAGTCAAGATACAAATAGATTTTCGACATGTTGGTAGAAATTTGATTTGTAAACAAGAAAACTCCTTTGTTAAATTCAATCAAGATGGCGGACGTGACTTGACATGCAAATTAATTAATCGTATTTTACGTCAAAGCTACAATTCTGTTGAAATGTTGATGAAGCTTTATGACTAAACAAACCCCGCAACAATCTGCTCCTTCATCGCAGACCTGTGCATTACTGTAACGTTTTGGACCATCAATTATTTACGATCACGATGACAACTTTTCTGTTTATTTCTCTGTATTTGTGAGTTTTACAATACTTTTTCCAGGAATCTTCCAGCATGGTACAAGTCAGCTTTATTCAACGAGTTGTATTTCGTTGCTGACGGTGGCACGATATGGTTAGATGTTGTCAAAGAAGAAAAAGAAAACCCAGATGTAAAGAATTTACCAGAATTCGTTTTGCAGTATGGTAGATTTGCTTATCTCGAAGGTATGCTTCTTCGTAAAATGCTCTCACAAAATATCTTCATTTTTTACTGGACGTTTGAACTAGGCTGTATAGTTTCAGGTTAAGACTGATTTTGTTGGGTTTGAGTTTTTGTGCCTTGCGAATTTTTATTTCGTTTTGCACATTTCTCTCCGCCATAGGTCACGAATACAGAATGTATAACACCTACGACGTCCATTTTTATGCTTCCTTTGCTCTCCTCATGCTCTGGCCAATGCTGCATCTCAGTCTTCAATATGATATAGGTGGGGTTAACGACTATATATATTGGTAATAATTGATGATCGTATTGTTTTATATTTTATATATATTTAACTTGATATCACATTGGGAGTTTGTTCTATTTATATGATGATACCACGTAAGACAAATGTTTTAATTTTTTTCTTTAAAATATTTTCACTATCGATTTTCTAATTGATTGATTTAATTAATCGACTGAGCTCAGATCGGTTTGCACAAGTTGATGCAAACTGTTATTTTATGAATATTTTTGCGATGCTGTATTATTAAACCCACCCCGATGTACAATTTTTCCATTTTAAATATTTACTAGATAGGATTTTCGGCATTTGAAAATAGAGATCCATTATGTGATAGTCTTTTTGAAGTGTGAGAGACAAGTAGATAAATAACAGCAATGTGACGAAAAAAGCATTTACGACTCGCAGACTCGCCGTTATTGCTCTCATTTATTGAAATCTTTCCGTGGAATTGTAAAATCTGCAAGCGGCTAAATATTTGTATTTAATTGTATTTAATTATTTTGAGGCGGTAGAAGGAATAACACCATGCATTATTTTTCACTAAAGTATTTTTCAGTATTAAATCTTTTAATACACTCCTGCTTTTGCTAAACCCCTTTTTCTCCTCTAAAGCTTAGAATTTCTAAATTTCTCCACATTTTATTATTTACCAATGACCTAGAAACCAATCTACTAGATATCTAACCCAGTCTAAATTCTATTGTTAAGAGTGAGGCAAGCCGCCATCTTGACATGTGGAAAAACTGACGATATTTACGATTAGCTAATATCCGCTTTTGCCGACTTGGTATTCAGTTTCAAAGTTGATAGTGTAGGTTTAATTTTTAAAATATTTGATAGGATTGGGTTTTTAAACCTGCTAGCTTTTTTTCATTTTGAGTTTTGCTCTTTGCCACCTTTCGAGATGGCGTCCTTACCTCACCTTGACACGGTAGTTAGACATCTAGGGGATTGGGTTGTTATTCATTGTCATTTACCGTTTCCTCGTTTGATAAATAATAAACTCTTTGAATGGATTCTTTTGACTCTCGTTAAAACTGTCATTGTACATTGATAAGCACGAGATTTATTTGATCGGAGCCAATGGCATTATATCATTGTTGTTATTTTCAGCGGCCATTGTGAACAGAAGTGAAATGAAAAAGAGGCTGACGATGATGAATGGCAGATCTTGTCCAAGAAAGGTCCAGGGATGTGTTCCTCATGATGTTGGAGATCCTGGTAGTGAAAACAGCTTTCAATTTTTCGCTTTGTAGTTTATAACGTAACTTATGATATTGTTTCGTTTCCACGCATGTCTTTATCAGCTCTATACCATTCAGTCCAGTATGATGTTTAAAATTGTGTCCACATTCTACATGTCCACTTTCTTGTATTGGAAAATGGTGTGTTGCTGCTGCTGCGTACTCCACTTTGTCACAAACAACTGTAGATTTCCTTGTGATTGGTTGATTTTTAGATGATGAGCCGTGGACAAATATTAACGCGTATGCGATACACGACACTTCTGAGTGGAAAGATCTAAATTTGAAATTCGTTCTTCAAGTAAGTGAAAGCCACGCTCATAAAATTGTTTTGTGCTCTGATGAATTGTGGAGCAGAATGATATTTAAAACCAAACATACACATATATATTTACAACGCATGAAATAAGTAAACGTTTACTTATTTCATGCGTTGTAAATATATATGTGTATGAATTGTGGAGCGTTGGGTTTAAAATCTTTTTTTGATTATGGTCGCGGAAAGAGAGATTTTCATAATACATGGAACAGTAGTAGCCTTGTGAATTGCACTATTCCCTTTTGCTATCTTATTCTTCAGATATTAGACTCCGTTAAACAGAATTTTTCTAGCATTCTTCTCACACAGGCGCTTCACGGATGTAAGCAGGATTTATTAGAAAGCGGAGGCGAGTCATTTAAGACGTGCCGAAAAAAGCAACTTATATGTAGGTTTCAGTTTTCAGAATTATCAGTTATTAAGAAAGTTCCTTTGCCTCCTCCCCCTACGCCTCTGTACTTATACCGCGACCGAATTTATAAAAAATTAACTGACCTTATTAACGCCTGTTGCAGAATTGCAACGAACACGACCCAAAATAAAGCTTAGGACAAAAAATTATTCGCCCGACAGAGTTTATTATTTCTTCGAAATGCCTTCACATGTAAATGTGTCGTTCAATCTTTGAAATATGCAATGGTATGGTATTCATTGAATTGATTTATTTCTTTCATTATCAGCTGTATCGTGATTACGTATATACTGATGATATTCAATATTTGGACGACCTTTGGCCAGTCGCAAAGGTTTGTTATCGTTCCAAGTCAAATCCACTGTGGCATTACTCCTTTTTTATTTTAAATTCACGGAAGAGAAAGCGTAGAATGTTTCTAAGTTGTTGCTTTGGAGGAATACAATTTCCAACTGTTAAAATAAGTCCAAAGAAATTTTGTTCGGGAAAAGCGAGAGGTGAATTGAACTGTAGATTGTTCTGTTAGAAAAACGATCTCTTAGTTTTTAACAATCTCTTCAAAAGTGATAATCTTGCTTGCAAAAGTCTTGTGTTGTTTTCTCTTTAATTGTTTTCGAGACAACATTTTACTTGGCTTTTGTACAAAAACGTAGATAAATGCATCGTTTTTATCGTTATCAATACGTTTATTTCGCTCAAATGAAATTGTACTTGGTTTTTCCCCCCAAAAACCTTAGAGTTCTTCTTTACCCAGCTACGAAAGGTAGATGAAAGCCAGGATACGAATTATTCCTTTTACGTTTTCTCGCTCACTAGACTGTCATGGCAAAAGCAGTTAGTCAAGACTCCGACGGCGATGGCTTGATAGATAACTCTGGATTCGCTGATCAAACATATGACGCTTGGGTTGTGTCGGGACCAAGGTCAGTAGGAGGGATGGGTTCACAAGATTTCTTTTATTTCGAAAGGAAGCTATCAGTGATTGCCTGAATAGCTTTTTGATGGAGAAAAGATACAACATACTTCGGTCTCAAAATATGCAACTTCATTTAAAGATTTCGTGATTTTTCCAGTGCCTATTGTGGCGGGTTATGGTTAGCTGCTCTTCGTGCAATGTCGGAAATCGCTCGAGTTCTCGGTTATCGTGAAGACATAAAAAAATACAACAATCTTTTGCAACGAGGAAAAAGAGCTTACGAACGCAAACTGTGGAATGGTAAGATCACCTACTTACAAAAACTACCACAACTTACACAACTGCAGTGGTCGTAACAAATAGTTTTTGCACCGTTCCATTGGCTTAAACTTGTGTATGACGAATGAACTGTTGAGTTGTGAGAGTTAAGTGTGGCCGTAGAAGTATTAAATTGCTGTGAATAGGGAAGTGCGATATGGATTATTGCTAGGAAGATTTAATTTAAGAAGCTTGAGAGGGATTGAGTTGCATGGGCGTTAAGTAATGTCTTTAGTTTAGAGATGAGGAAGTCTCTCATGAATCATGAGGCCCATATTGTTAGAGCGAGATGAGATTATTTTATAGTCGTCTGGAGAAGTTAGTGGTTAGAAAAATGAGTGTGAGAAAAAAAAATTGACAGCTAAAAATGGTGTTCAGAGACAGGAATTTCTTCTATAGGTCGTTACTACAACTACGATTGCAGTAGAAGACGTTATCATAACAGCATTATGGCAGACCAAATGGCGGGTCAATGGTATCTCAAGGCATGTGACATAGGACAGCATCTTAACGACAGGGTATGAAATAGAATCGGTAGCTAAAACTTGTTCAATGAATGACTTTCATAGACATTCTTGCTCCAAAAGATTAGTTCAAACATGTGCATAGTTTAACCTAAGTTCAACTTGGGCTTTTAGTTTAAGCCCAATTCCATGCATTCAACATTATAGTATTTTCAACATAGGTTTAACCGATAATGAAAAATTCCTGTTCAATAGTGCAGAATGTTTCATCCAGCGGACTGCGAGAAATTTGTCTTTAGCCTACCTTCAACACAGGCTTTAGGAAATCAAAACCAAAGTTTTTCTAAGATTATGCAATTCCCGCTCATTAAAGGTGTTCCCCAAAACGCACGTGATTAGTGCTCTTACGACCATTTTCGAATACAACGTCCTGCGGTTTCATCATGGCAGAATGGGCGCAGTAAATGGTATGAGACCTGATGGCAAGGTATATTGTGCAGAGTCATTGGTCATAGAAAATAAATTTCGAGTTATTACGATTAGCATAGTTAGTATGTTTAGCACATCACTTGGTATAATAAAGGCTCAATCAAGTAAATATTATCTTGTGCGTTGTATTATTTTTCTATTATTATTTATATTATAGCAATGTAGTGCATTATTTTGTTTATGTATAACTAGCATAAGCTGTATGTATCTATTTGCTCGTTTACATTTTGCTTCATCATTATTTTTTGGAAAATAATTTGTTTACATGATTTAAAACGAATCAACTTGGTACATTTTGTGCAGTAAAACATTCAATTTTAAAATTTCACCTTCAGATAGACACAAGCAGCGTGCAAGCTGAAGAGGTTTGGACAGGAATAACGTACGCAGTTGCTGCAGCGATGATTCAGGAGGTGAGATAGCTTATTATGCATCAATTTTCACCACGTTTTGTACGAAAAGATTACGGAAATATGGTGTTTGAACGTATCGAATATATAAAATATGTCACAAAATATGTGAAGAAATATGATACAAAACAATTTTTCCTGACAGCTTAGAATTAACACTAGATATCTGGACTTCACTAGATTACATGCATGTAGCTACGAATCACGTTTCATCCAATCATCACTTTGACTGTAAACGTTAGACTTCCTTATATAAGGACATTTACAAATTTTACACATTCTGTCACATGTCATAAAGACACCAGATTTCCCTGTGCGTACAGGGACTACATTTTCAGCAAAACAAAGTTATTCAAGTTTCAAAGTTGAACTACAGAATATTACCAAAGATAAAATCTTGTTTATCGCAGGGTCTGGTCGAAGAAGGCTTCCGAACAGCTAGCGGTGTTTACCGAAGTTGTTATGAGCGTTTTGGAATGGCATTCCAAACTCCTGAGGCATACACAAGTAATGGTTGCTATAGATCGTTGGGCTACATGAGACCGTTAAGCATTTGGGCAATACAGTGGGCGTGGGAGCGAAGGTCGAAGAAGTTGCAAGATAAAAAACATGCAAATGCAGCTTTCAAATTGCCGATGAACGAGTGTTGCCTCATGAATGGGTGTTGGGAGCAGGAAGAGCACAATAACGTTTATATTTGGGAAGATCAATCTTTTTCTAACAGTCCAAGTGTCACCCCTTCCAGGCCATTGTCTGTTGCTGATATGACGTCACCTCTTGACTGTGATTTTTCTGGCTTGGACGTCTTTGACCAGGTTCCAACAACACCAGGATTGCCTGTTCGTGCAAAATCTGATGGAAATTTGGATTTTAGTTGTATTTACACTTCTGGAAATTAATATGCAGATTTTGAAAATGTCCAGGTCCTGTTCATCGAAAGCTGGACAGTCTCCTCCATTCTCAGCTTTTAATGTATATTGGGTCACGATGATTTGAAATTTTGAGTGTACATTAATATCAAAAAATCTATAAAATAACTCTTTCTTTCTTGGGGTTCTTGGTCTGTCTACCGTAGCGTGGAAAACCTACACATTTAAGTTCGTTTTGCAGCTTTACATCATTGCCCATATCGTTTTTAGAAATTATTTTACAAGAGGTTAATTGCGAATTAGTTATTTTGCGTAGCGAAAGGTAAAAGTTAGACTTTCTAAGCTATTGTCCAATATCCCTCTGTTCTCAGCCCTTTTTTGAGCAATACTTATCCTATTTTGAGCAATTTAAAATTCCACTCATTTTCTTCATTTAACATCAGTTATAACCTTAATTCCTTCATTCAACAAGTTATTACCACGAATCATTTGTTCAATCCGCCTCATAAATCTTAATTTTGATGTTTCTATGCAACCACTCCCTCTTTTTATAAAACAATGGATCTCAAAGAAACTAAACTCTGCTTATGAGTCTCCCTTTCCCGTGAAGCTAAATAATACTTTGATAAACACTGTTGATAAAATCAATCGCTTTTCATCTTGTATTAATTAAAAACAAAAAAATTATTGATTAATCTAGTAAAGTTGTTTTATCGATTTATTTATTACTTTTACTCCTGTATTGAACACTCTCCAAACATTATTATGTTTACCATATTATATTGTGAAGCATGCAAGTTAAAAAGATTACTGCTCTGTATACTTTCAGACTCAAATACACAGATGTCGTTTTAGTGTTTTTCGAGGTTTGTAATTTTTGAATTTTAAAATCAGTATTTAACAGGTGATCACTTCCAAGTAAACGCGCAAGAGTTTTTTTTTAGCAATATAACTATTTTAGTTATAAACCGGTATTGATTGAAAAAATTATTTTAACATTACATTTTAAGAACTACTATTCTTAGTCATTGATTCTAAGGCTTGTATTTTATATGCTTTTAGTGCTTCTCTAGCTGGTTTATGGTTGAGTGTTATTTTTAAATTTGAAAATTTGTGTGATAAAATCTAAGAGAATTATTTATCTTTAGAAACCTGTAGCAACTATGTATGATTTACTAAAACAATCTCTTCCCGCCCCCTCCTCACACACCATGTTTTTACTTAAGCGCACGAAAAACATCCAACAAATTCCAGTCTCATCGATATATCTTTTTGCCAGGAGATTGGATGAATACGAATGTAATGACAAACGATAACTGGGGAAACTTCCTGTCGGACAATTGTGTCGATGTCAGAATTACCATCAAACTCCTAAAATATAATGAGATCAAAAATGAAAGGAATAAGAAATCATAATTGCTTGGCTTATGGTTAAAAAAAATTATTTATTCATCAACCGATTTATTTATTTTTCGCTTGTAAAACCCAAAACTCGTTTGATACCCCACGCGTTGCATACAACACAATAATGATTTATGAATGTTTTTATGCAGTGCGGTGTTTGAAATTAAATGAAGATATGATCTTCGCACTTGTTGGACAATTTAAGCAATTGTCTCATAAACCTGAAAAAATCAGGTGACTCAACGGGGTTCGATTCCCGTTGAGTCACCTGATTTTTTCAGGTTTATGAGACAATTGCTTAAATTGTCCAACAAGTGCGAAGATCATATCTTCATTTAACAATAATGATTTATAGCACTTTTAAAAATAGATCGCAGGAAACAATTTGTTTTATTCGTCAAGGACATTTTACACAAATTATTTTTATATAGATCGAGGAGTATAAGTACAGTTAAACGTAAATTACGTATTTCTAGTAAGTTATGACACAATCGTGGTAACATAAAAAAAAACTTTTATATTAACGTCATTTTAATATATGGCATGCATCATTTTCGGAAAAAAGGTGCTTTGATCGGCTCAGAAACATCTTTGCGAGTCCTTTACTTACTTTTCCGTAATTCTTCTTTCATCCGACAAGATAAAAAAGCCGACTATGGCCTCAGACTACAGCCTTACTCTCCATACTTCTCAAATTGGATTGTTCGCAAAAATTACATTTCAAAAAGACGTGAAAATAAAAACAAAAACACGAAAATATATACAAAATGTATAAATAGATCGTCTGGAAAACACAAATGGCTGCTTCCACCACTTTAAATATCGTCGAAATGAATGAGATTAACACACTTCTTGATGTCTGAAAAAGATAGCTACCAAATTCGGAGCCGGGGTAATCGTATAGAGTAACAAGGCATTTACACTTGCTGCAACACTAATTATTATATAAAATCGTTTTAGCTATAGCTGTAATCATGTACCTTTATTCCTTTGTTTTTTGTGTAATTTTTGAAAGTGACTCCATCATTGGAGTATGAGACAAAATATTTCTTTACAAAACTACTACAACAACCACGACCTTGTGTTAAAATTTCCATTACCGATGCTCTTTTTTTGAAGTTTACTTGAAGCCATTGCTTGTGATTGGCTTTTCCCGATAACCAAGAATTGTCTGAATTTAATCTAGCGTTTAACCCCCTAAATTTGCTCTTGTTCGAAAACACAGACGAGGCCGTTATTTGCAAATCAGATATTTCTCCACTTTCCATGCCCAACGCTTTGGAATTTAAACATTCTAAATATCAGAAAAATTATTTTGCAATTAAGTCATTTACGATGAAGGTCATGATGAATTGAATAATTTGTGTAATATGGTATTACGTTACTTTTACGTATTAAAATCATTAGATCGGATTTAATTTTGTTTATCTGTGTCAGTAAAAACAGCATTCGTGTGTCATAGCTACTTATTGCTGACTTTTAAAAACTCCCTCCCCCAATAATAACGAAAATTTTTATGACGTAAATTCGGAAAATGTTTATGATTTTTTTTCTTGGGAAATATTGTTATTAAGCAATCCGTCTTATCTATTTATGTTTGAAGACACCATGGACCTTGATGAAAAGTATGACTTCCTTTCATATCATGTAATGGGCATTTTATAAATGTAAAAATACTAATGCTTTAAAACCTTTCAAAATGTTTGGCAGCTATTTTTCCAAGGCAATGAAAATCAGATAAAAATGCTACAAATTTTTAATGGTTAAGGTCGATTTTTGTTATACTCACATTCTGCACATTCTGCACTAAACATATACATCATGTTGTTAAAGGAGTCTGAATCTAGTATAAATATTTCAAACCGACCTTTTCGTTCAATACATGTTCTGTTGAAGCTCTAAAAATTAAAAAAAATCAAAAAATAAAGTGTTTTCATGTAATGTCATATCAAAGTGGCCATGTTTGGGAAGTACATCAAAGAGCAAATGCTAAACATGGCTTATCTTTTAAATGACTGATTATATTAAACCGGCGAGTTTCAATGTCATTGATTTCAATAAATACGGCTCAATACATTAAGTTCCACTACAGTTGGTGGCAACGTAAGTCGTCTTTGCTGTCGCCGCCTATTTGAACACTTCAAAGTGTGACTTTGATTTTTCATGCTTTTGGCAATCGCCCATAAATGATGCATGTTGACATAATCAGTTTTAGTCCCTGTAGCGCATGGACTTTTGACGAAACAGTAGTTAAAGCAAATAAAAAATTCGCTTTTTCTCCACACTACCGCACAACCAATCTTTCCTTTTACGCCATAAGTGTTTTAAACCTTTATCTCTCGTTTTCATTGTGAGCGTAGGGGTAAGTCGCGGCATACAAACCAAGTTTTTCTACTCTATTGCGTGAACTGATAAATTCTTTGTAAAAGTTCAAAAGTGATCTATCTGACTCTTAGAGTTTCAAACGCGACGTTTGACTGTCCTTAGTTGATTTCCATGTTCACACACAAAAATAAATCAAATAAAATAGTAAAACGATGAATACTTCGGCAGTATTTCAAACACTAGAGCGAATAAAATTGCGCACGACCGAAGAAAAAATTCAGAGATTGAGCATACGTACGACGCTATGCAGCCTCCTATATTATTAATAATTATGCTTTTGTCGTTCTCGCTTGATCAGAGCACGACCAAACTAAGGCTGTCTAAGCCCCTTTTAAAAAGCTGTGAGGTTTTTCAGAAAATCAACCCTTAGGAATATATATTTTCTCGCGCTAGCATGACTAAAGCACGGCTAAAACAGGGGAAAGACGTTCCTTGTGCTTTAAGGCAGTGATTAAGGCAAATATCTTGCAGAAACGCAATATAGTGTGCGTAATATGAAGTGTTTTAAAATGCAAATAAAGCATTAGAGATAGATTTTGTTTTTGCTAGTAGTTGTTAACATTATAGCTGAACAAATATTGAAAATTTATAGCGAGTTAAAAAAACCTTAGTTTGAAAAACGTTTCGTCATGCTCAACATGACGACCAGCACGACCTCTAGCTACGCCACTGTCTATCTATTTAATTATTCATAAGATATGACTGCTTGAAGTAAATATTTGCAGTTAGCAATGAAAAATTAAGACGTATAATTCTTGACGAATAACAAGTTAGAATTAACTCCGACGTTTTTCACACCAATGTACAAAATATGCAAGAAATAGACAATTGTAGCTTTTATTCTTAGGAAGTTATTTTAGCTATAATCCAAATTATGATCTTGTTAATATAATACCTTTAAAGTGCTAGCAAAGACTATTGCCGATATCCTACTTGCAAGGTAGTTAGGTAGAGACATGAAATGGACAGTAAACAACGAGGAGCAAAAATGCCTCATTGGAGGCTGAGTTGCTATAGGCCTTTTAAAAATTCTATCCGACATTTTAAACATTTTTATTTTATTTCCGGATACCTACTTGTACCAAGCTTCGAAGGGTTTTAGTGAGTGTTGATAATTTCCTTGTTTTTGCACATTATTTCATTAAAGTTAAAATTGAAAATGTTTGGAGATATCGATGTATGTGTTTCCTTAAACATTACTTTGACTCTTTTCTTTCCCTCGTAATTAGATGTAATAGATTAAAGTGCATATGTACATACTGATCCCCATGAGTTGCAGGTATTTTTCCATTTATTTAAGATTGGGTAGTTACTGAATTGTTATCAAAAAAATGTTGCATTATATTGCAATAAATATTTCTAAACGATCTTTTCACTTCCTGAATGAAATCATGGATAGTCCCGAGATTACACTTATAAATTCTAAAAGCTTACTCACACTCACACACATTGGACGGCGGTATAAATCCATTGACAAATTATTTGAAGTTGGTCGTTTTCCTTGGTGATTGACTTAATCAAAATATTTTAACAAAAATCTTCTCATCAATGGTGAAGCAAGTTTGCCGTTTTTATAATAGGAGAGCAGTTTCTGAGCTGCACTCAATGAACACGTTATGTACTAAAAACGTCTGATTGTGGTGATGTTTAGCATTTTTAAACACAAAAATATACAATTAAAGAGATGAATAAAACTAAGAAAGGCGTGATGGTAATATTTAATATTATAGGCTTTTCGTATTGTGAAGCGCGAAAGTTCTTTCTTAGTCTGATTCTTTACACTTGTGGAACAGAAAATTTTTTCGATAAAAGAAAGGGAAAAGAAAAGTCACCAATGTAAAATTCAAAGAGTAATGACTACTAAGAGTAAGGAATTTGTATCAAATTTTATGCCGTGTTTAAAACGTAGCTAGCTAATGGCGTCAGGTCTCTGCTATTCCATGCGTCCAAATTCGATGAGTAATTTTAATATTACAATTATCCATTTAATTAAGAAGCAGCTTTTACATAATATTTGCGCCTTGTATAAAAATAAATAACCTTTAATGTCAAGAAATACATGATTATTTTTAGTTTAAAGTAAGTATATTGAACAAATGAATATTCAGTCAAATAATAACTGAACTGTATTGACTTGAAAACTGTAGTATACCTGACTAAGTTTTAATCAAGTTTTTGTGTAATGTAATAGCTACCTGTATGGCATCAACTCGTTTAATAGGAATTTTTTCCTAGTTGTTCCCACTTTAATTGTTCGTCGAAATAGTTATCTGACAAGGAAACTTTTGCATACCTTTTTTGGCGAAATTAAGAGTACATAATTGTACTTTGTATTTCGTTCTAATTTGGAACAGTCATTTTTGTCGTGAATGCTATGTAACATCTCACAACGATCTTTATTTCCTTCGTTTCCACAGCTTTGATTAAACCCAATCCTATAGTTGATGGAGCGACAACAAGGTGTTTTGACACAAGATAAAATACACTCTGTTTCACTTTGCGCGTCAGTTTTTAATATAACGGGTTCATTTAATCGCCAGCCTAAAAAGTAAGATTCTCACAAAATCTATACATGATCACATCACACGCTAACTTTTTTCTTTCTCTTTAGAATTGTACAATTAATTTTACCTTCAAGAGAAGAATTAAAGCAGTAGTTTTCGGATTGAGTTTGTTCAAATTTTGTCCACAAAAGTATCAACAAGGATAACATATTAGCACAACTTGCATAAATACTGTCTTTGAATGATCTGTTCACTTTACCTACTCGCACGCATAAAACCAACGTTAGACAAACTTTGTAGCAAATAAGCGGTGAATATTGGACCTCTTAAGTGTAAGCACAATATAACAGGTGGTAAAATATTCAACAACAACAAAAGCAATGGACCTATGTAAAAAAATTATCTAACTTAAAGCAAGAAAAAATTGAGAAAATTTCGAGCAGTATATAAAAAAGTGAAGTTTTAAATGAATAACTATGCAGTTTTGATAGTTTGGCACGATAAACATGGATATTAGGGTTTACGCATATATTCTAGTCTGAAATTAATAATTTATTAAAAACTGCGCAATTTATATTCAACACGATCAGCTTTAAAGATATTTACTCGAAGAAGTTGCTACACTTGAAAGACAAAATGTTTTCATAAGCTATATAGGATGCCAATATACTTGTGGTCGTAGATTGTTCACACATAAATAACCAAAAGGCATTTTTAGTTACGTAGCCACACTTTCCTGCTTCTCCCATCCACAAAATTCGAACAAATATCATACTAAATTGCTAAAGGCTGTATCAAATTTCTCTACAGTTCTGCAACATAGTATATCAAGCATTAGTTTCAGCACTTCCGAAATACATGACTTCAAAAGTTTTATGTTCACTGTGTTTTGAAAGAAAGTTGAAAATTTCCATGAATAGACTGTTCTACACGAGTAAAACAATGGCGTTTTGTTATTTATTGTTTAATATACTATTATTTCATGCTCTTATTTTTAGCGTCATGCTAAAGCGACATCAAACACTGTCGAAATATATTATCGAAGGAGTCATCTTAAGGTATGCCAAAATTACTGAATTTAAATCGTGAATGTATTGACCGATATATGCCTCCGCATCAATTCTCCATTCATATTAGTCATATTAGTTAGAGCGTAATTGTTTTCGGAATGATCTGAGTTAATACCCTCCATATTAGTGTGTAAACTAAAGGCAACCGAAAAAAAATGAAAACAAACGAAAAACATGTAAAAAGAAATTGAATCGCTAAACTTTTGTGGTAATGAAAGAGATGTGTTGCTAATATTTAAACATAAAATTAAATTTGAATTTTGAATCATAAGTGCACGTACATTTACGTATATTGAGCAATCAATATGCAAAGCAATAAAATATATCATTCCAACTCCAAGATATGCTCCTACGTTATGCTATTGTATCATCTTGCTCCTGCACAGAGGTGTGTAAAATGTTGCAAGTTTCCTTTCACTTCAAAAGAAATATTTGCTAAAGTATTGCATCTTTCCCTCTACTTTAAAGACATATTTGGTAAAATGCTGCATGTTTTCCTTTATTTTAAAGATCTACCAAGTAAAATATTTATGTAGTATAAGAAGTGTAGTATAATGTAATGTAATATATATTAAAGAATTTTATCTTGCAGCTAAACGCTAATTTACATAAAATTTACACCTATGAAGAAAAACATCTTAAAATTACCTAACTATTTACATTAAAAAGATTAAGAAAGTCAATATAAAATAAGTCTACCTAAGAGAAATTTACAATCATAATGTCGATTTAATTTAGAAGCTAAATTTTTGCTTGAGAACCACAATAAAAGAGTTTCTATATATCCATTTGTTTTTATTTTCGGCAACTTGGATTTAAATATTAAAGGTATATCATTCTGGCAGAGTTCCGATAATAAATTATAAAGTTTATGTTCGCTATCGTTAGATATGGAGTCAAAAAGCTCTACACATAGGCGATCTCTCCTATGTGATAAGGATTCCAATTGCATGATATTTGAAGCTTCATTATAACTTTTGTTAGGATGAAGAATTTTAAGAGCCCATTTCTGTATTCTTTCTATTTCATCTGACAAAAAGATTGGAAGGCTACCCTTAAACGCTTGACATGCATATTCCAAAACTGATCTAATACACGCGCAATAGAATTTCTTCACAGAGTTCATATCAACTTCGTATCAAGTCTTTAGGAGCATTAAAAGATACAATCGTTTTGAGACTTACATGTAATACGGTCAGCATTATTATTCCATTTTAAGTCCGACCTCAAAGTTACACCAAGTATATCAGCTGACTGAACAATTTCAACAGCTTGATCATTGATTATAACGATTATAACAGCATCGTGTATACGTTGCTGTTTACTAAAATCTACCCTAAGCTTCTTTAATTTTGATGAATTGAATGTTCTCGTTGTGACATGTTACTCACATGTTGTCGTTTGTCCAAGAACGTATTTGATAAATCTGCTTTGGTAAATCGAAGGTTACATTTTTTGGAATAACTTCAGAAACTGTTCTATCGTCGGCAAATTTCCATAAGCATGTTGGTGCCCCAGCTACAGACAAATCATTAATCATAGACAGAAACAACCAAGGACCAAGTTTGGTAACTTGAGGACTACAAGCTGGAACCAGTTTGAATTCACCTTCACACATAATCCAGTTTAAAACAAAAAGCTTAATATAAAGACCGAAACCTAGTAAAGTATTTATATATTTTAATAAGTAATATATACCTTACGTTGTTGTAAGATAATACCACCAACAAAAATATAACAAAACTTCAACTGCTGCAGAACTTTGCCTGTAAAATCGTTACGGGCACCAGGAAATATGACCATGTTTCGCCACTCTTGCGCCAATTAAACTGGAAGCCTGTTCAACAGTGTCTAGACTATCGGGACTTAGTCTTGACATACAAGTGCGTAAATAACCTTGCCCCCGAATATCTCTGCAAAAAGTTCCATAAGAGTCCTCACGATCGGGCCACCCGTAATAGAGACCTATTTCAAATTCCGAGGTTCAAAACATCAACGGGCCAACGCACATTTTCATATAGGGCAGTCAAATTGTGGAACAATTTAGACAAAGATGTGAAAAATTCCAAGTCTCTTGATTCTTTTAAGAAAGCTTTAAAAGATCTTTTGTAGTTC